CTATTAACGAAAAATAATTTCAAGAAATGTACCCTAGAGGTTCACAGCCAGCTCGATTATATGGTTTACCTAAACTTCATAAATTAAACAATATCAATGACATACCTCCTATCAGACCTATAATTTCTTCAATCGATTCGTATAACTACAAATTAGCCAAATACCTCATCTCTTTACTCCAACCCCTAATACCTAATGACCATTCTGCTAAAGATTCTTTTAGTTTTGTCGATGATTTTTTATCTTTTAACACTAACGCTCCACATGACAAATTCTTTATTTCTTTTGACGTTGAAAGCCTTTTTACCAACATACCACTGACCGAAACTATAGACATTGCTATTGACTTAATTTTTACCAACAACCCTACATTCAAAATGAACAGAACAGGACTAAAACTATTGTTTAACATCACTACGGCCGAGACTCATTTTTTATTTAACGGTAAGTACTACGACCAAATTGACGAGGTAAGTATGGGCTCACCCTTGGCACCCATTCTAGCCAACATTTTCATGGGTTTTCACGAACGAAACTGGTTAAATAACTACAGCAACAACAAACCTTTATTTTACCGCAGATACGTTGACGACATTTTTTGTATTTTTCATAACAAAGACGAAGCATTACTCTTTTACGAATACATCAACAAACAACATCAAAGCATAAACTTTACATACGAAACCGAACAAGACAATCAGATACCCTTCCTTGACATCTTACTAACTAAATCACATGAAAACTGTATGACCTCTACGTACCACAAACCAACATATACAGGACTACTGACTAACTTTTTTAGTTTCACACCATTAAATTACAAAATTGGACTGATACGAACACTGACCGACAGAGCACGGAAACTTAACAACTCAGACATCAACTTTCATCGGGATTTAAAGAAACTAATATTCACTCTCCAACGTAATTCTTTTCCTTTTCATTTCATCAACAACACTATACTACACTATTTGGACAACAAGAAAAGCACTGGCTCATCTTACTCCACAACTAACACTAACGATATACAACAACCTGACAATAATTACAGAGTAATGTAATTCCCGCTATATTGGTGAAACTTCTCGCCAATTATCTACCAGGATAAAGGAACATACTCACACAGACAAAAACTCCACTATCTACAAACATCTTCAAGCCTCTCCTTCATGTAAAAACAAATTCTCACCTTCCTGTTTTAAAATCATCGACACTGATCAATCCACTTTCTCACTCAAAATCAAGGAAGCTCTACACATTAATAAAACTAATCCCGATTTAAATATCCAAGTTCACCACTACAACACTATATTTACTTTATAATAATATTTTTTGTTATAAGTTCTTACTACTTATTTTTATTTTCCTTTTTTGTAAATATTTTATAAATATTTTATAATTTTGTAACTAAATCATAATCCTATTCATTGTAATTAATTTATTCATATCATATTACGTATCATATTACTTAACACTAACCATTCTGCACTGAAGATGGCATTCTGATAATGTCGAAACATGTTTGCTTTCAAAAAAATCGTCGTTTTTCTCAAGAAATTTTTAAATAAAGAACTGATTTTTAAAAATGATGTTAAAACTAAAGGAAATTGAAATAATGACCTGTTGTTGTAGTTAAGAAATTAAAAGCAATTACTTTGTTCAACAACTCAACAAGAAAACATAAATTAGTTAGTACAATGTAGGGAATACTGTTTATTAGGTAAGACTCAGCGACACACATATAATTAATGTTCTTGCCCTATTCTGCCCCTCATCGTTATCATCTAGCAAAAGTTTACCATATATCAAACGTCTATGAAGCGTACACTGTGTATTAAAACTGTGTTTTGAATTGTTGCTTTTATTGTGTTTAAATTGTGTTTTCAATTGTATGCATGTTGCTAAAACTGGGGATTAAAAATACACAGTTTTCTTGCACATAAAAGTTACGTATATGATGTGATTAGTTTCATGTTTGTAGATGTAGATCGTCCAGGTTAGTAGAGTTATGAGAAGGACTGTTTTTGTTTTTGATGACTGACGTTTCGAAAACCTTAGCGCTAGTCATCTTCAGTCTTTCTAAGGTTGACTCTGAAGATGGCGACCGCTTAGGTTGTCGAAACGTCCGACAACAACAACAAAAACAGTCCTTCTAAGGACTCTACTGACCTAGACAATCTACATCTACAAACATGTAACGATACTCCCGCGTTCAAACCATTTACATTATTACGATGATTAGTTTCCGTGGTAAAGGAATCACAGGACTTGTTACTGCTTGTCTTGTATTTTCACGTCTGTAGTATTACTTTTTGTATTATTCGTGTATAAATGCAATTACATTTGGCCAGTTGACAGAATGTTTGTTGCTGGACCAGATGGTTTTACTCACAATATATAACTACGTAAATCTTCCGCATTTTTTTTTCTTTATGGCTTTTATTGTTTTTGTAAAGAAACTTCCTTGTATATGTATATTATAGTAAATTTTCTATTTTTTTGCCTGAGATTCGAGTGGAAATATTTTTGATTGATATCATTGTATTATAAGAAGAACAGATTTTATATTATGCGCGTCATATCACGTAAGAAGTCCAAATAAAAAATTTCCGAGTCGTGAAATAAGACATTTATAACTACTTTGAACTTCACACTTTTTGTACTGCAGAGAAATTTCTTGTAAGTTATTTCTTAAAGTTTTCATACGGTACATCAATGAATGGAAAATGGCGATTTTGATGGAAGAAAAGTGTAGGGCAAGGCAGCGTGCTAAAACGTTTATCCACTGTTTTATAACAGTGGAATGAACATGAGCGGAAAGACTTTAGTTTCTTTTACTAAGATGTTTAGAAGAACAAAGACATCGTGGAATTTTTATTCAATTTTTCATATGTTGTTCTTTGAGCTAAATACTTTTTAATTTTACGTCTATGCGGATGCTTATGTCATGTCCTTTAGAAATCAGCAAATGGTGAAATATTTAATGCCTGATGATATTATTGTGCAGATTTCACTGTTACAATTTACGTTAAATTTCCAAAAACAATAACTTCAATAATAGTTGTCACATAGATAGATAGTTTACAACCAAATGAAATGAGATGCACTTTCTCACGTAAAAATTGACGTATGAAAATTGTCTGTAGTCGCAGCCTAGTGACAGAGCATTGGAAAATATACGAATAGATTATATGCTCAATATATGTTCTATTTCATAGATCATACACTCATTCTTTCATAAATGCATTAAAAAATATTCCAAAATAAATAGATAAGAAAATAAAATTTGCGATATGCTTAGAACAACTAGAGCTCATTTATTATCTAAAATATTTATGTAATACACGTACGCGGTTTTATTCAAGTGTTTTTCACCTATTAATCCAAAAAATAAGATGATTTAAAATTCTTTCTATGGAGATGAATAATAAATTCTAAAAAAAGCGTCAACTGTTGCTTGAAAAAAACACTAAGACGCTAACAACCAACGAATTATATTCCAGGTGTGTCAAAAAAGTAGACTCTTGGAAAAAATTTCTCTAAAATAAGACGCGCATGTGTATTTTAACGTTCTCTGGTACAGCTGGTAATGATTTATTTGCAAATTTGAATAAAGTACAATATGAGATTAAGAAGCCAATTCCTAAGGTAAGTGAAATGTGAAAAAGCAAAAAAAATTCAAGTGTTTTAAAGATCTTGCGTTGTCCAGCGCTTGCCCTCAAATTTCTTGCAATTAAGATAGCTTGCACAACCTCCTCCATTTTTCGACTCAAGATAATTAATTTTTCTTTTCAATGAAAATTTTTCGTGCGCAAATATTTCACGGCTATAACATTTTGCATTTTTGAAGCTTTCATTTCCAGCTGTACCCCTGTACCGCACGCGTCTTGTTACGAAGAACTTTTTACCATAATATACTTTTTTTGATACACTCTTAATGTACAAACAATATATAGGCAATACACGTTATATAGGCTATGCACACTATACACACTATATACGTTGTATAAACTATACACACTATATAGGCTACACACATTTTATACACTATATAGGCTGTTTACATTATATACACTGTATAGGCTATACACGCTATATATACTATATAGGCTATACAATACTATTTACTCTATATAGGCTATATACACTATATGCACTATATAGGCTATATACACTATATACACTATATAGGCTATATACACTATATACACTGTTTAGGCTATACACACTATTTACACTATGTAGGCTAGGCACATTATACACACTGTATTTAAAACACCCCACTAGATACCCTGCATACACTATATACACTATATACAATGCATAGGCTGTAAACAGTGAGTGTTTTCGCCAACGTCACAACGACGTCACAATTTTTTACTGTCCACTATTATATAGACGGAGTGTAACACAAAAGAAGAAACAATGGAAAGATAAAAGTATTATTATAATGTATAGTGAAAATATTGTGTTTAATATACAGTTTATAACATACATCAAACGACTTTTTCTGCATACGGCATTCCCATATCATACCTTACGTTCTATAAAGCAATTGGTGACGTATTACTTGTCATTCATCGTAGAAAAACCGGTTAAGGCTGCTTTCATGGAGTTAAGTACCAATTGCACAGTTTATTAACCAAATTTAAAACAGAAATGTCTACAATCTTGATGAAACATGTTTTCAATCACTTTTGTTAACAAACAACTTATAACAGCTGCAAATGGTGAATGGCTTCCTTACATCCAGGGTGTCTGAGATATAGATATGTACGTAGTAACCATTTTCTTGAGAAGTATGTACTGGAATTGAACCAGTATACCAGCTAGTGGCTAGTAGCCATTCATAGCTTTTTTGGTTACGTGAGTGAGAATGAGCGATTGTTAAATCAATAAATCTATCTCTGAGGAATCAGAAATCTAAATATCCATAATTTGTAGAAGATCATACATTTTTGCAAAATAGGCCGTTTGCACTGGACAACTACAAATGCGTGTATCTTCTTAGATGTATATACTTGCAAGCGTATGTGCATACATTTTATTTGCAAAAAGAGGAGCATGCAAATAAGTTTCTATTTATAAAAAGTGCATACAAAAAGTATGATTGCACAGCTTTCAGCAACAAAATACTACGAATTATATGCATCTTCTTCTTCAACATCTTCATGAACGTCATGTTCATCGATACAGTCTGATTTACTGTCACTACCATATACGTTGATTATGGACTGTTCTAAGTCGTGAAAGTATTGAAAATCTTTTTATAACTGCACTCTAGCCAATGCAATTCTGCTGTTTGTGATGGCGAGACGACCATGCAGAGTCTTCATTGTGTCTTTTCGCACACAATAGCGATGTTTATATTCATCTAGAAGAAAGCTCTATAAAAGAAACATAATCATGTCAATAAGTATGTTCGTATTTTAAAAGATTGGTGTCATTTTCTCTACTTATCTGACCTCTGTTTCAAGGAAAGAATAGTCATTAGATTCATCAACATTATTTGTAAATACTAAAAAAATAATTGCAAAATATGTTAAACGCATGTACATTACATTCCACGCATGTACATTACATTCCACTGTATATAAATACGTAACCTTTAAGCTTGTTTTAACTTAATACGAACATTTATCTGTATACCTATCCTATCTTTAATCTTATTTTTTCTTTCACAAAGGAGAGGCAAAACGCTTTCTAAATAATAAATCATATAATTTTTCATCTCCATGTTCTGAAGTGCTTTTTCCTCTTCCAATCTTTTAACTACCATGTACTTATCGACAATTTGTGCCTTGAAACGCACATGCAGGTATATCTAAATCTTGTAAAGTAAAATCGTTGAAACTAAAAGCGAGCATGGACGTCACAATATACATAGAACTGTAATTGCTATTCTTTTACACACCATGTGAAGTTGTACTATCTATGTCACACTGGTTAAACGACCAAACAAAATCTCCAGACATGACTTCTTCAGCACTTGTCGTAGGAAGACCACATAGATTTGAGAGGCAATTTAGCTCTTCTACGGTGGATGTTATTTTGGGCTTCTCTTCAGCGCATTTCCTTCTCATAGAAGATCTTTGTTTACTAGAATCTACAGTACGTGCATGTATAATATACGTAACAACGACAAATCGCAATTTTACAGTAATTTGGCAAAATGCTTTGAAATATAAGTCTACATATTTCTACGAATATTTGAAAGTAAACAATGTTAACTCTCGCAAATTTTTTACATTCATTTAATTAAATGAAATTAAACCATGTTTCTAAAAATATTTGAAAGTAAACAATGTTAACTCTCGCAAATTGTTTACATTCATTTCACGAGAAAACATGAGCCCAACAATATTGACCTGCTCACCACTGTGTGACTTCATAGCTCAGTGGTCAGAGCACTGCACCGGCACCGCAGAGGTCATGGGTTCGAATCCCGTTGAGTCACCTGATTTTTTCAGGTCCTGAGACGATTGCTTAAATTGTCCAGCTAAGTGCGAAGATCATATCTCATTTAATTTCAAAACACCGCACTGCATAAAACATTCACAAAAATTTTCTTCTCGTCGTGATTATGCATTACTTTCTTTATATTGAATTATAGTATAATATATCACCATGTCATAAAAATAGTTTTGTTTTATATAATTTCTTAAATCTAAACGGCAAATTTTTCACGGTACACCTCATGCACTTCTATTTTCCTCCAATAATCCACACTCTAAACCCATTCCAATTAAATTTGGATCTTCAAAAATTTCCATAGACTATCACCAACTATTGTATTGTTAATGGTCTGCTTTCACAAACCAACTGACCTCATTATCCTTGTCTGACAAAATGTCATTTACAACTGACTTGTCAGTATGTTCCTTTGCTGTTGTGAACTGTTGAAAAATTGCCTCTGGCTGAAAAATTTATGAAGTCAAGTAAAATAAGAACGCCAACCATACGTTTGTGCCAACAAAATAAAGAAGATATAGCCAATAAAAGGAAAGACTGAATTAGTCTGGAGAATCAGTAGTGAACCAATTCAAGGTAGCATTGATGTAAATACTCAAGCAATTGTTTCATACAAAGTAAAAAATCACGTAAGTAGTCATTTATGATAACATCCAGTAATGACCAGTGTCATCCAGTGATGATGAATGACATGTAATAATGTTGAAGCAAATGCGTAAGTTAAGCGATGATTTTTTTCGTACAAACATTGACACAATGTTTGCAATCACAATCAATCTAGTGAAATGAAAGTGAAATCGTATATAAGTTGATTATAAAGTTTTTACTAAAGCCTTTACCTGGTCAGAAAAAATCCAAGATAATTTCAAAAATTTTGAATTTAAATCAAAAAATGACCAAAAGCTTAAAAATTTGATCAGAAATAAAAACAAAGTATATAGTCAAATTTTACGCACAATATGCGCAGTTCTTCAATGATATTCAAAAAATAATTCAGAATAATAAAATTCAAAAATTTCACTGTTTTGTGAAATATAAATTTAAATGTAGAACTTAAAATAGCATGACAAATTTGGAGAATGCTACGACGAAATATGATTTGAAAATGTTTTCCCTGAAGTTATTTACAGAATCGAAGAAAGAATGCGAGTCTTGATAATTTGTCAACTAATTCGAATGGTTGCTACTGACATTATGACCTGAGACCAAACCATTGATTACAGGTTTCTCAGTTGAGCATTTAGCAGTATCATGAATTAAAACAGATGAATGAGCATGCACATAGCATGTGTCAGCTTTAACCCATTAGGCTACAAGTAAACAATCAATCATGTAGAAAATATAAACTCAATATATAACTTACTGATAGCTCTCCTTAAATATATATACATTGTAAAGAAGACTAAAAAACAGCACAGTACCACGTCTGTCTCCAATGGCGTTAATTTGCTGTCTGATAATTTATCACGGGTGCATGGCACTTGATCAATGGTTTCACCAATTAATATGCGTTGAGAACTAAAGCCATTTTCCTGGGAGTAAATACACAAAACATTATGATTGACAAATTTACAGACCACTATATTAGAGAGGTTGTTTCCTTAGAGACATCTTCCCACACTTCTGTCTTTAAAATAGTAACTTCATAATTTACATAATTCATAACTTACTAACATTAATCTATAAAATACTTTTGTTCCATCATTGTAATACATATACATATTTACCTCATCACTTGTATTTGTTTCGTGCGCAAGCTCTTCTATCGAATTGTTATTCACGTTTCCCGGCTACAATTGACAAATAATCAAGCAATGATAGCATATAGAGTGTATTGTAAACTGAGAAAAAAAGTTTAAACTTTGATACTGTGCATTAAACTCGTACTTTTGTAGAGGCGAAGTCTTGTAGACATTACTGTGTTGTAAATAAGAGTTGCACTATCAAATATTAGAGAACGTCCAGGTTTAGACTCTCAATGATTGATAGGTTTCTAATAAATGTCCAATTTTTTGCCACCTCATTCACTTATTGAGTAAACTAGTAAACGAATTTGTAGTAGCTTATGCAAGGGTGGTTCCAGTATTTCATTCAGTGATGAATGCATTATTCGGAAAATTCGCATTACAATAACGTTTTCATCAACAAGTCAATAAGTCATACGATCTTAGTAAAGAGTGCACCCTCTGCAACGCCTTCTAGATCCGTATATGTTATATTAGACAAGATGGCATGATTAAGTTTTGCAATTAATTGCTTTAGATAAACTATAATAAAAGCGGATAAAACTGGTATGATTATTAATGAAAACATGTGATGGTTGTTAACATGAAATGCGATTTCTCCACTGGATTTCTATCTCATAAAGTTTTATGTGGGGGTCTAAAGGCAAAATTATAAATACAATTAAATAAATATGCTGAAGCCAGCTTTTCATGCTTATTTTAATGATAATATTACTGTTGAAAACTGCAATTGGTTCTCTTTATTTTTCAAAATCCAGAAGTAAAAACAAACACGCGCAGTTGTGTAAAATTGGAATTTAGTTAGCTATATAGGAAACGAGAACAAAGCATATTGTGATCATTGATTAATGTCATGTGATAGACGATACTGATGTAAATGCGTATCTGATTTTTGCAGTTAAAGCATAATTTCACCATAAAATTTCCCTTATCAGCACGCTGTTGTCGTTTTGGCTTTTTCACAAGAATTGATTTTATGCTCGAAGATACAAAGCTCTTGACTTTGTTCAAAAATAAAACGAAGTAAAAACACGTTGTATAATTTAGGTAGAGCAACAAGGATTTAATTGAGTTTTATCTTGGATTAAGATAAACCTAATGCAAACAAACAAATGTAAAGTTTTTCATAAAGTTTTTACCAAAGCCTTTATCGCGTTAGCAGAACACTGAGGTATATTGCTTGGGAAATGCTTAGAGGTTGATATTAACATACATAACCAAGCCATGATAAAATATACCCATTTACTTTATTATCCACCGATATCAACAGTAATTGGATGTGCAAGAGTTACGACACTAAGGTTTTTCGTGGAAAACAAATCCTTTCACAAAGTGCTGACTGATAATTAAGGAAGTTTCAGGTCAAGCTAAAACATGTACATGTGTAAACGAGGGAGGTTTTCCATGGTAGTTGGATCAAACAGTGATTTGCCTACCCTTTTCGTAAACAATATTTTTGCAATCTTTCTGATACATATAAGTTTTAACCTGTGAACCTTTTCCTGCCGAAATAATCATTCTCTCTTAATGCACCTCTGAGACGTCCTTTAATCGTCTAAATCTTATTTAGCTGGTCCAAGATGCCTATCCCGCTCATTTTTTTGGGAGGGGAGAAAAGTTTATCTATCATTTTTTCCGGATATCCATTTCAAAGAAATATCTTTTTCAATGAGTTGAGATCACTTTCAATGAACTCCTCTGTTGACAGTCTAAGCGTTTGATAAAGCAAACATTTTACTAAAGAAATCTTTTCTCTTTGTAAAGAAAAAGAGTCACAGCTTGTGTACAAACCCATAAGAGTTGCCTTCCAATGAATACTAGTAAAGAATTGACCATTGCATTATGGATTATGTTTTCAAGTTATCCCTGTTTTGAGCTCAATCTTCTCTTTTAGAGATGACGTACATTCTTTCTTGACATTATAAATATCGGTAGATTTTAAATTTTCATTTAGCAGACGTTGACAACTGATCAGTATGTAGTCTGCCGAAGTGTAACGTGTCGTTTAGTTTCATAACAGTTCTTTCAGAACTATTAACTTACTACTTTTGCCACTCGCCATGGTATTTGCCATATTTAAAACGATTTTCAAGTACATGTTTGTGGATATAGATCATCCAGGTTAGTGCGGTCCTGAGAAGAACTGTTGTGTTGATTGTTGACTGGCAAGTCAACAATCAAAGACTGAGATATTGTAATATTGCATTAAAAGCTTTCAGTGAAAATTGTTTTCATACACTGTACACAGTGGACATAGAGGCTTCATGCCAATTAAAAAATGTAGAAAGGCAAATCAAGGGGATATTTCTTTGGCGGCTTGATGAAATTGTCATTGGTATACTATTAGGTAAACACGAAACGCTAAGATCTTACGATCTCATACGCAGAATTAGAAAAAATCATGATAAAAAAAGGTAAAAAATTACAAAAATTTTCTTCTTGTCGTGATTACGCATTACTTTCTTTATATTGAATTATAGTATAATATATCACCATATCATAAAAATAGTTTTGTTTTATATAATTTCGTAAATCTAGACGCAAATTTTTCACGGTACACCTCATGCACTTCTATTTTCTTTCAATCATCCACACTCTTAACCCATTCCAATTAAGATTTGGATCTTTAAAAATTTCCCTAAACTATCACCGACTATTGTATTGTTAACGATCTGCTTTCAAAAATCAACTGACCTCATTGTCTTTGTCTGGCGAAATATCATTTACAACTGACTTGTCAGTATGTTCCCTTGCTGTTGGGAACTGTTGACAAATTGCCTCTGGCTGAAAAATTTATGAAGTCATGTGAAATAAAAACACCATCCATACGTCTGTGCCAACAAAATAAAGAAGACATAGCTACCGTAGAATCTTCATTTTTTCATTACAGACTTGAATTGCCTTTTTTGGCGATTTCTGTTCATCCCTTGACAGCTACAATGAACCAAAATTTTGTACCATTATTGTTCTGAGTCAACTAACATCTGGAGCAAAAAATATTTCTCTAGCTGTAGTAAACTGCTGTCCTCAACAGCGTTGATCTCGGGAATTTTAAGTGAAACAGTTTGGATTCTTTTTTGGAATTTTTATTTTGAATAGTAATTTTTTTGATTTTTGTACATTTCAGTAGGAGAATTTAGGTTTAAGAATAGCTTTTTGTGAAAATTTTTCAACTTATAAACGATTGTGCCACACGTTATGAAGATAAACCACGGTGCTAAACCAGTTAGCTGTATACATTTCAACTGGTAGAAAGCTGTGACTTGTATATAGGACCAAAATTTTAATGTAAGAAGTCAAAATGTGTGTATTGAGTGTAGCGACTTACTGTTCCTTCAAGGAGACTGGGAAAATAAGAAGTTTTGAGATCTTTTGAGACTTAAGATTTTCATTAAATTACGCTGAGGAGCGTAGGTCATGCAATGTTTATAGCTTTCACCAATCAATAACCTCATCAACTACATGCTGCACATTGTCCTTTACAATAGACTCATTTTTCTCAGCTATCGTGGACGGATTTCTACTTTTCTAGGAATTTTGAAGAATTCCACATGATGTGAAATTAGAACGCCATCCACAATTATGTGCAAAAATAAATCGACATACTGTTGGATCTCTATGTAGTTCACCAGTTTCTTCTTTTGAAAGAGGAGCCTCTTTCAATGTTTCTTGCCCACCTGAAGCCTATATACAATAAACAAAGATTGAATAAAACAGTTTCCTACCCACCTTTTAAGCAAAAGGAAATTTTTAAGTTTGGTCATCCAAGTTAAACTCATGAAAATAAAAAATAACTACACAAGGATGAAATTTGGCATTGAACAGGAATTTTATGAACTATGAGATGATATGGGACCGAGAAAAATCACCTTTTTGACTTGAACACGTTTGTCGGGCACATTTCGATCTTTTTCCCTATATTCCTTTAGTTCTTCTTTCAAGCTCCTTATTTCATTGTCTTTTTCGCTGTTTTGCAACTTCAATCTCCGATTTTCATCGTTTTGTTTGCTGAGTTGCAACTTCATTGTGCTGAGCTCCAACCTCAATGTCCATATTTCATGGTCTTTTTCGCTGCTTTCCAACCTCAATGTCCATATTTCATCATCTTTTTTTTCGTGAGAAGCGATGGATAAATTACTTACTTCACAATGGATTAAATTTTCCTAAAAAAGGACAACTATTAATATTTTCACTGGTCACTTATTTTGTTCAATAAATATTACTGAGATACAAGTCTATTGTATTCGTAGTGACATTGTTTTTGTCCACTCAGGGTTGAATTTGAGCGTTGCCATTTTAAGTAATGTTTCTACATGGAACAACTGTCCAGATGAATGTGGTGAATGTAAGGTATAATGTCAGCACAGAGTAGATACATATACAGAAGCGCCACTCAGCGAAAAATCTGTCCCCTACTTGTACCCAGTTCTTAAGTGTGCATCTTTTGCATCCGCCATTACTCCAGCCAGATAAACTAATCAAAATGAATATAGATTAATATTATGAAGAGTTGTTTTTCGAAAATTTGACGAATGTAAATTCACTTACGGACAAAATTTTTAATGTCATCAGACAGGATACAAAGCATATGAGGTGAGAAACAGTTTTGTTGTAAAATACGTTCTTCAAATATAATTTTACGGGTTTTATAGTTTCTTGCCTTGAATTGTATGTGAGATCCATGTTTAGAACGTCTCTTATAATGAACGGCAGTTGCCCTGAGAATTTATAATTTAGGACAAAGGTGATAAATATATTTAGTGTGATTCCATTTCTGTATTTTCAAGTAAAGAGTTTCCTATTAGAATGGTCAATGGATTTGTTACAAGCGATAAAACGACCTACTGTGCGTAATGTACATTCTTTAAAGGAAGACGTTATTAGTATAGAATTTGGACTAAACTAATTGATTCTTGAATCGGGGCTTTCTATTTGCAATGTAGCTTGTCTGCATAATTGTAATTGAAAGTTTTTATTTGTAATTTTATATTGAGTTCCTGTGGCTATCATGTCTGTCAAATTTGTATTAACTTACAAATAAAGATGTTTTTTGTTGTCTTATTTTTAATTAACAATATATGAAATTACAAGTATTTAAAGAATGAAGTTATTCATAAATTGTTTCTAATAAATTAACAACTTTGTCATCATGTCAAACATATTGTCAAGCTCCTACAGCTTAGCTCTTTGGTTAAACTTCACTTGTGAGTTGTGACCAAAAACTGTACGTGAAAAATGATTTCCAAGATTTCAAATGTTAGAACAAATATCTTCAAGATTCTCTGCAGAATTATTAAATGATAAAATTAAAACTGAAGACAAACCATATACTGAGTACACATCTTGTCAGATACATATGTTATTTTGAAAATATTCTCAATAAACCCTCATTTATCAAAACGAACGTCAAATTAATGGATAAATTGTTGAAAGCTTGATGTGTTAACTGTATCCACACAAAAAATATTAAAAAAATGGCCAATCTATAGAAATATTTGGGTTTATTTGCCAAAACCCATCCATAGAACTATATATTATATTACGATCTGCCTGCACTCATCTGGCTGGAAATATGGCCGCCGTTTAAAATACCCGGATTGTAGAACTCAAAACAGGGGACAAGAACATCAAAGGTTCCGACATCGAGTGGCGCTTCTGTATACGTATCTATTCTGTGATGTCAGTATAAATCCTGTGTTACCTTCACAGTAGTATTAAATATAAATATCAAAGCCCACCATAATGCGTAAAACAGCCATAAAGAAAAAAATAATATTTCTTTACGACAAAGTGTTAATAGCTAACGTCTCGTCTTTATGATGAACGGCGAAGGCTTTAATACTTTTTGTATTTCGTAATTTCGATTACGATTCCCGCCTGGTTCAAAGATCACAGCGACATTATCATGTACTGAAGTACATCAGTACAACTCTATTATTTAAAAATCTCTTCCTCTGTAAGATGATTGAAACATTTACAAACCATACTAACAAATCTCAGTATATCAAATGACAATCAAATAAAATTAAGGCATTTGCTAAAGCTACTACAAAGTATTACAAAATCAAAAATCTTGTGAGCCAGATTTATGTATTTTTTATTTTTTTCTAACAAAGTAAGAAAATAATACCTTACAAGCTGAAGAAAAGCGAGAATCTTGTCCTATCAAACAAGAAAACTGCGAGCAATTAAATGAACTTGCTTCTCCACCGCGTGCTGCCGCCATGAACGTTACAACTGACTGGTTTCGCGCGTTTCACGTGCGTTGTACTTTCTCTCGTAAAAATACGTAACGACTTCGGACGAATGTAAACTGTTGTGTCAACCCAGTCTCTTCCTTAAATTAACCCTATACGCTAATAGTGAAAATACCTTTAAATTGACTCTAGAAGTCAATTTGAAACGTCCATTCAAACAACAGTCCTGGTGACATGAGTGGCACCTTTGCCAGTTGCCGAAATGAAAAAACCAAAAAACTTAGCGCGTGCCATTTTGTTTTGTTATAGGAGCGAAGATATTTTACAGTACCCTGTATCAGTATTTTTATGAAATATTAAACACATCGGGGTTTCACCTCTTATTTATGCAATCACATGTCTCATAAACGCAGTAAGCTGAGTAAACCAACGATTGATGAGCAGCTGCTGTCTGCAATAAGCAATGTTAATGCTATTACAAATCAAGGTGTTCGAAGTAGAAGTAAAACTATTAAGAAGAAAAAGGACAGTAGAGATATAGTTCTTCAAAGAAACGAAGATGGCGAACGGATTATTCATAAGCCGAGGAAAAGCACTCCGAGCAATAGAAATACACAAAGAGGTGTGTGCTGGGGAAATAATACTATTATCAAAGAAATAGAAGCATTTTAGATTTTTGTTTAACTTGTATGTTACATTTTTATGTTACTTGTTGTTATTACTATCATAGATGAGGAAATGCCTACAACATCGTCAGATTTACATTATGTTGCACAGGAAATGTTATGTGATGACAGTGTGACAAAAAGAGGTTGTTGATAATACTTCTTACATCTCAACTTTACATAACAGAAGCAAAACTTTTGTGCTGTCCAGGCCACTGCATCTATACATAGTTTTTATATTTTTATACACATGTGACTGTGCTTTTAACACTTCAATGTACTCTTTTTATAATTGTGCCATATTTTAGAAAAAAAAAATAGAAAAGGAAACAGCTTTATGTCATAAAATCATTTCATTTTCATTTTAGATCTTGAAGCTATTCTTGAAAGCTGTCAGTTGGTTATTGGAGAAGTGGATACTGGCCATCTGCTTGGCAAAAAAAATGGAAAATCGAGAAGAAAAATGGGAAATTATGAGGGAAAAAATATTCAATGTCACTGTGTCATCATTTGCTCCTCCTTTATCTGCTATGAAGTGTTGTAGATGCAATGAAAATGAAGCTGTACTGAGATGCAGACAACGTGGTGTGTTGAGATATATTTGTCGATTATGTGATGATGATGTCCATGAGAATAATCCTCTCCATGATCGAGAAGTGTGGTTGGATGGTTATTTTTAATATATCAAGCCAACACAATCCATTTCATCTGATGGAAAGATTTGCAGCATTGGTAAGTATAATGTACATACTATTGAATTTTATATAAATATTTGTTGTTTTTTTTGTTGTGCCCGATGTGAGAGAAATGTTTTTCTGTGATGATGCTGTTATCTTTGTAGATCGATCATGTCCCATCCTTTACCCATCATCATGTCAGTTGTGTAATGAACCTATCATCAAAACTACCAACAGCTCTCTTGTGATTATGATCACTTGTGAAGGTGAAAGTGTCCTTATGCAATTTTTTTACAGAGTTCAAATAACAATTTTTGTTATATGGATGTACATATGATGCATCTTATTAAAATCGGATTTGTTAGGGGCTCATTATCTTAGTCACATTTAGAAAAGTACACAGGCAGCAGGTTGGATTTTACACTAATTCATAGACTTTAGATTGAAACTAAAAACTTCAAATCATCAATGAAGTTGCTGGCTTCTTATGAAACCCCAGGATTTGATTTCTTTGAAGCGCATATTTTCAGCACTGTACTGGTTATTTTTGATTATATTTTGTCTTCAACAGGACGATTTGATCTTAATTGATTCACTGTACATTGCTCATCTTGTCAGTGGAAGTGGTCACCAATTTCTGTTGACAATATAATTGAGAGTGGCTGGTGGCCTGGTAGCCCTGAAAATTTTCATTACATATTTAGTCAAGATGTCTTTAATTTGTGGGATGCATTTAGAAAGAGGATGCCTGGGTCATCACAATCTGCTTTCGTAAGAAGTTTGGAAGATATTTCCAGCTCTAGAGGAAGGGTGATTATTTTTTATGCTATCAACATATCTTTGTTAGTGTGCTTTTTACTTTGTGTATATTTTTTGTCTCGCAAACCAAAAGCTACAAGACGTAAATCTAGGTTTCAAAATAATCCTTTATGATCATTTCTTTCTGTGAATTTTGGTAAATTCTGGGAAGTCAAGGAAAATTTGTTTAAAATTTGTAACAAGCACATGTCAATTTTTGTGGGCTTCATATAATGTGCATGTTTGAAGTATGAGAACTATATTATAGTACAGTGGGGTTTTGCATAATCAACAAATAGTATATAATTGGGCTATGTTTTGATGTGGAACTGGTTTCACTAGGAAAATGTTATCAATCCAGTCACATTCAGAAAATTATTTGCTGAATAGAGCTATTGCCAACATGAAATTGACCTTCTTCATGAGCAGACATGGAAAAATTGCCCTCCTTGTAATATTGATCAACATTCATGTCATGTTGATGGAAATCAAAAAGTGTACAGATTCAGCAAAGTACCAAGGTTTGTGATATTGGATGGCGAATTCTCAAACTTGCAAAAATGGAATTACCCTTTGTAAACGATTCAGATACTTTTATGTTTTAATAAATTGAACCAATTTTAACAAATCCAAGAAAAAGACCTACTGCTCATGTTTGATTCTTTACCTGCATTGTTGGGTTTATGAGTGCTTGTGTTCTAAATTGATAACTTACTTTTACCTCAGGGGTCCAGTCCAGTGTTATTATCATGATGTATTGATTGCAAACAATAGTTTTGTGGACTCTCATTTAAAAAGTCTTGATTCAAAGTCAATTCAGGTAATGTGTTATGATGTAGGATTGAAAGGTAGTAGTCTATTATTAGGTTAAAGCATTTTTTATAGAATGAAGATAAGTCTTGTGGTGACACCCATTGGGAAAGCTGCAAAAATGGTCTCCAAGTCAAAGAAAAAACCAAGACGAGACTCGACTTGAAGTTGCTGGATGCAGGCACTCGATTGCTCAAGCTACTTTGAACATGTTCAGAGGAGAAATTTATGGCTATGCTCACTACTTGCATATGAATTTTTTACAACCACATAAAGTTAAATATATGTGGGAAGATATTATATGCAAATATTGGCCTTGGGCTCTACGTGTTACATCGGAAGAAAATCAAAATGCGCTAAGAAATATTGCACCAGCACTGTCTATAATGCATGGGAAATCACACAGTTGGTCATGTCAGGTACGTTACATACGTAGGTTATGATTGTTTACCCAATAACTCGTAAGCTAAATACCACATACGCCGACGATGATGCTCTATTAAAGATGTTATGAGACGAAGTGTGCTTTTTCAAACTGTAATAATACTGTATTTCACTTAACCAAACCGTGGTTACATAAATCTGAAATGGGTTGTCTTGAATAGATGATTCTTTTCACACTTTTTAGTTTATTTGGAGCGGAAGATGGCAAAGTGGTGCGGCAGCAACTGCTGGCGAAGAAGTTGAGCAAATAAATTCGTATTTGTCATTACTTGGCTCGAATACTAAAAATATGACGGCCTCCGGTGAGTATTATTTTCTTATCTGTATATCCACTCAGGTTTTTTGGTCGATTAAGTCCATGAACCAATGTGCACATTAATGGTTGTACGTATTAAGGACGAGAAGAATGCATTACTGAACACCTTCTGAGTTGGAACAAGCGGAAAATTTTAAACTTGGCAAAATCACTTGTTATTCGAATGAAAAAGGTTACACGTTGTAAATGTCTTTAGTTAATTGTCAAAATTATACTAGTGTGAGTCCATGATTCTAATGTGTGCTACGTACGTGTATAATATGAAATGAATTTACAGTTCATAGTTGTGTATAGGTGTTGTTTGAACCCAATACGTTTACTGCGCTAATATGATTATTTTTCACTGTTTTTCATTATGTGTACTTGTGTTTCGAAGACCGAAAGGAAACTTTCATCTGCTAGGGACGATTTTGTAAAGTTAAGAAGCGAACTTAATGTCCAGGATTCAGACTTGGACGACTCGATAATGCAGTGGAAAGAAGATGTTCAACAATTTGCGAGAGGTATGCCTCTGTTATAACATTGTTTACTTTCAAATATTTTTAGAAACATGGTTTAGTATTGAACAGTTCTGTACTTATGGTTGATTTGTGTTCAAACATCATTTTAAACGAAACTATATGAAATAATTCTTGACCTGGCTCAAATTTTTATGTTTGGCAATTGTTATTTTTAACAATTCATTTTACCCCCGGAAAATATATAGATATACAGTATTGTATGGAGTGCTTAGTAATTACGTAGATAAATTAATATTTTTTGTTGTTTGTCTAGAACAACAAATTGGAGTTTCTTCGTTAAAAGGTGCCGCCGAAGAGTTCTTCCTTTTGCATCAAACTGTTGAAAATGCTCAACATTTGGAGAATTTTGTAAAAGCCAACGATGATAAAACGCGGACATTATTGGGTGATATGCGTTTCGTTCATGACGCTCAAAACAAAGTGAAACAACTTGAACAAAATGCAACAAGATTGCTGGAATTGAAAAGACAGCTTTTAGATGGACATGTGAGAGAGGAGCAGCTTCTTGAGCAAGGAAAGTCGCAGCTGGCAAAAATCACAGTAGCAAAGCTGCAGAAGAGATTAGAAATGTTGTATTTTTCAGTCACTAGACGCACAAAAGAAATAACTTCTCTTGCTGGTGAGTTTTGTTGGGGTTTTTTAATGAGTAACTGTAAGCATTATTTTAAAGTTCGTTGCAAAATCTAAGTGAGTTAGATTTTAGATGTAGGCGACACAAAATGCAAAATATGGAACAGTTTTATTCGAGATAAATTGTGCTTTATCTAAAAGTAAACGGGTAAATACCATCTACACCATCCTCGTAGAAATATGTAGACTTATATTTATGGGCCACCCTACACTTATTTTTTGCCGAATTATTTCAAAGCATCTTGCCAAATTACTGTAAAATTGCGATTTGTCGTTGTTACGTATATTATACATGTACGTACTGTAGATTCTAGCAAACGAAGATCTTCCATGAGAAGGAAATGCGCTAAAGAAAAGTCCGAAATAGCATCCACCGTAGAAGAGTTAAATTGCCTCTGAAGTCTGTGTGGTCTTCCTACGACAAGTGCGGAAGAAGTCATGTCTGGATATTTTGTTTGGTCGTTTAACCAGTGTGACATAGATAGTACGACTTCACATGGTGTGTAAAAGAATAGCAAATATTGTTCTATGTATATTGTGACGTCCATGCTCGCTTTTAGTTTGAACTATTTTACTTAACAATATTTAGATATACCTGTGCGTTTCAAGGCACAAGTTGTCGATAAGTACATGTTAGTTAAAAGATTGGAAGACGAAAAAGCACTTCTGAACATGGAGATGAAAAATTATATGATTTATTATTTGGAAAACGTTTTGCCTCTCCTTTGTGACAGAAAAGAGAAGATTAAACATAGGATAGGTATACAGATAAATGTTCGTATTATGTTAAAACAAGCTTAAAGATTACGTATTTATTTACAGTGGAATATAATGTACATGCGTTTAACATATTTTGCAATTATTTTTTTAGTATTTACAAATAATGTTGATGAATCTAATGACTATTCTTTCCTTGAAACTGAGGTCAGATAAGTAATGAAAATGACACCAATCTTTTAAATACGAACATACTTATTGACATGATTACGTTTGTTTTATAGAGCTTTCTTCTAGATGAATATAAACATCGCTATTGTGTGCGAAAAGACACAATGAAGACTCTGCATGGTCGTCTCGCCATTACAAACTGCGAAATTGCATTTGCCAGAGTGCAGTTGAAAAAAGGTGTTTATTACTTTCACGACTTAGAACAGTCCATAGTCAACGTATACGATAGTGACAGTGAATCAGACTATAGCGATGAAGATGACGTTCATGAAGATGACGTTCATGAAGATGACGTTCATGAGATGACGTTCATGAAGATGTTGAAGAAGAAGATGCATATAATTCGTAGTATTTTGTTGCTGAAAGCTGTGCTATCATTATTTTTGTGTGCACTTTTTATAAATAGAAAATTTTTGCACGTTGCTCTTTTTGTAAATAAAATGTATGCACATGCACTTGCAAGTATGTACATCTAAGAAGATACACGCATTTGTAGTTGTTCAGTGCAAACGGCCTATTTTGCAACAATCTATAATCTACAAATTGCCCTTTTTCGCAACACAAATTGTCTTTTTCCTTGATATTTTGATTTCTGATTCCTCTGTGATAGATTTAATGATTCAACAGTCGCTCATTCTCACTCACGTAACCAAAAAAGCTATGAATGGCTACCAGCCACTAGCTGGTATACTGGTTCAATTCCAGTACATAGCTCTCAAGAAAGTGGTTACTACGTACATATCTATATCTCAGACACCCTGGATGTAAGGAAGCCATTCACCTTTTGCAGCTGTTATAAGTTGTTTGTTAACAAAAGTGATTGAAAACATGTTTCATCAAGATTGTAGACATTTCTGTTTTAAATTTGGTTAATAAATTGTACAATTGGTACTTAACTCCATGAAAGCAGCCTTAACCGGTGTTTCTACGATGAATGGCAAGTAATATGTCACTAATTGTTTTATAGAACGTCAAGGTATGATGTGGGAATGCCGTATGCAGAAAAAGTCGTTTGATGTATGTTATAAACTGTATAATAAACACAATATTCTTACTATAAGTTATAATCTAACTTTTATGTTTCCATTGTTTCTTCTTTTGTGTTACACTCCGTCTATATAATAGCGGACAGTAAAAAATTGTGACGTCATTGTGACGCTGGTGAAAACACTTACTGCTTACAGCCTATGCATTGTGTATATAGTATATATAGCTTATATAGTGTATAGGGCCTATATAGCGTATATAGTGTATATAGCCTATATAGTGTATATATAGTGTGCATAGCCTATATAGTGTATATAGTGTGTATAGCCTATATAGGTATTTAGTGTGTATAGCCTATATAGTGTATACAGCGTATATAGTGTGTATAGTGTGCATAGCCTATATAACGTGTATTGCTTATATATCGTGTGTATCGTAAGAATGTATCAAAAAAGTATATTATGGTAAAAAGTTCTTCGTAACAAGACGCACGCGGTACAGGGGTACAGCTGGAAAAGAAAGTTTCAAAAAATGCAAAATGTTATAGCAGTGAAATATCTCCTGGTAAAAGTCCTTCAATTGAAAAGAATATTTAATTATCCTGAGTCAAAATATGGAGGAGGTTGTGCAAGCTATCGTAATTGCAAGCGATTTGAGGGCAAGCGCTGGCCAACGCAAGATCTTTAAAACACTTGACGTTTTTTTGCTTTTTCGCACTTTACTTACCTTTGGAATTGGCTTCTTAATTTCATATTGTACTTTATTCAATTTGCAAATAAATCACTATCAGCTGTACCAGAGAACGTTAAAATACACATGCGCGTCTTATTTTAGAAAATTTTTTCCAAGAGTCTACTTTTTTGATTTTTCTCTCTCTCGGGCAGTCAGTCGGTACGACTAGGACTGTTTATGGATTGGGTTTGCTTTTGATGCTTTTTCTGAATTTATTATGCATCTCCATAGAAAAACTTTTAAATCATCTTTATTTTGGGATTAATAGGTGAACAACACTTGAATAAAATCGTGTACGTGTATTACATAAATATTTTAGATAATAAATGAGCTCTAGTTGTTCTAAGACATATCGCAAATTTTATTTTCTAATCTATTTATTTTGGAATGTTTTTAATGCAATTATGAAAGAATGAGTGTATGATCTATGAAGTAGAACATATATTTAGCATTTAATCTATTGTTGTATTTTCCAATGCTCTGTCATTAGGCTGCGACTACAGATATTTTTCATACGTCAATTTTTATGTGAGAAAGTGCATCTCATTTTATTTGGTTATAAACTATATATTTATGTGACAACTAGCATTCAAGTTATTGCTTTTGGAAATTTAACGCAAATTGTAACAGTGAAATCTGCACAACAATATCATCAGGCATTAAATATTTCACTATTGGCTGATTTCTAAAGGACATGACATAAGCATCCGCATAAACGTAAACTTGAAAAATATTTAACTCAAAGAAGAACAAATGAAGAATTGAATAAAAATTCCACGATGTCGTTGTTTTTATAAACATTTTAGTAAGAGAAACTAAAGTCTTTTCACTTACCCTACACTTTTATTCCATCAAAATCACCATTTTCCATTCATTGATATACCGTGTGAAAACTTTAAGAAATAACTTACAAGAAATTCGTCTGCAGTACATAAAGTGTGAAGTTCAAAGTGAAATTCACGACTCGGAAATTTTTTATTTGGACTTCTTACGTGATATGACTCGCATAATATATAATCTGTCCTTCTTATAATACAATGATATCAAACAAAAATATTTCCACTCGAAAATATACTACACAAAAATAGAAAATAAAAAATTTACTATAATATACATATACAAAGAAGTTTCTTTACGAAAACAATAAAATCCACAAAGAAAAAAATGCGGAAGATTTACGTAGCTATATATTGTGAGTAAAATCATCTGGTCCAGCAACAAACATTCTGTCAACTGGCCAAATGTAAGACTCGCCTGGTCTTACGACATCTTCGTCGAATGGACCAGGAAATGGTGGAGCAACTGTTTTGCCCGGTACCACACTAGTAACAAAGACAGATTGGTAGCCGGGAGTCACGGGCCGATTATGCACCTTCGACATTCCTGAGACACATCCAAAACCACGCACTACACCATTCTCGTTGGATAATGCTACAACAGCTCCTAAGTGTACATGAAACTATTTAAATTCAAGACATAGCCATTTGCTTCGCTGATCACTATTTATGACAGAAGAAATATTGCTACGCATCATCGGCATGTACGTAGCTGCCAAAGAACCAAATAAAGTTTTAAAATTTTAAAGCTGAAAGTAGTCATATGTGTTTGGACATGCTTATTGTTGTGAAATGTGTTCCATGTTGATGACAAAATTAATCAACAAAAGATCGAACTTGTTTTGCGACAACCTAAAAACTTCTAAGAACCTAAAAAATCAACCATTCTAATGCTAACGACTATGTACACTATTCCTGACCTGTGCTAAAAGTTGCTGTGGGGACAGATGGAGCAGTCATTTTAGATATGGTAGACATAGATGTTGTAGCGACGAAGGAGCTTGAAGAAGAGGAAGAAGAGGTTGAAACATATGAAGAATTGCCGATCGAGGTACATCCACTGGAAAAGGCCAGAGTGGTGTTAGTGCTAAAAGAATCAGTGACGACATTTGTATTGGTATTTGTAGCAGCAGAGAGGAAGGAGGATTCGAAAGTCGCGGAAATCGTATTAAAATGAAGATCTTTGCGCATAGGAATGAATGTTGAAACAGCGCTACTAACTGGAAGAGAGGTTGTAACAGAGCTACAAAGAGTTACAGATGAAGATGCTGAAATAGAAGGCGAAACAGAAAACGACACGGAAGGGGAGGTAGAGGCAGGGACAGTATTTGTAGATGAAAGATCGGTAGATTGACTATCTTCATTTCTATCTTGCCATAACTTCTTCATCCCGGTTTGAAACACGTTTCTGGCTGATTTTCCAATTACACCACTGCTGCTAATAAAATCTGTCGCCAAGCCAGGAGTTGCAGCATAATCCCAGACGGTTGGACCTCCAGTGGTTGATGGGTGATAAACACATGATAACCGTGGCTCTGTTGAAGAGTCTGAGCCTAAAAAAAAAAGTCCAATTCCGAAACCAATCAAATTATACATTGATATTTTAAAATCTGCTCCAATACCCTAAGATACATTAAAGAATACAAATCTAACCCTTTTCATCAGCAGCATTTTCTGTCTTGTCGTGGTCGAATATTGTGGTATTGAGACGGAAGAGGGCCTCTATTGAATGCGCTGTCCACAGTTGGAACATTGCTTACATGCATTGCCCACCGCAGTAGAGCAATTACTACATATTTTCTTTCGAGAAAGTGTCTAAAAAAATTTTAGTCCTCTAAAACATAGAAGTGCACCACCAATTAGGTAAAATATATTTTTTCCAGAAAATTACTGTACAAACCTTTCAGGCAATTGGATGTATTTCATAGGAAGCAATAATTGCATTTATACACGAATAATACAAAAAGTAATACTACAGACGTGAAGATACAAGACAAGCAGTAACAAGTCGTGTGATTCTTTTACCACGGAAACTAATCATCGTAATAAAGTAAATGGTTTACCGAATCCTAGAAGTATTTGATCGAATATTTCTTCTTTCTTTTCTCAACTACTTTCATTAAAGTACTGCCAATCCTTTCTTATTGAGATGAATGCGCAATTCATTAGATACATCAATAACAGTAGTCAATACTATCAAGCAAATTTAAAGCTTACACTGACTCCAAACAACAGCTTGTAACTTGTAAGATGTACGTCTTTATACTATGGCTGTCAAAACAGAGCTCTAGAGGACTTTAATCTTATCACACTGGTTGAAAGGAGATAAAATTTAACAGAAATCTATTCCGAAACTAACAGTAATACATTGAAAATACGTACCATTAAATGTGTTTGGAAGATTAAAAACAAAGTTCAGTCCCATTATAATTACAACAAATCCATGACAACATTTTTATTCTATTTCACAAATGTTTATTTTACTGTTGGACCATCCTTCAACAATTACAGTCTTTCCGTTTTTTAGACCACACATTCACATATAAACTAGAACATTCTCAAAATTGTGGATTTCGTTGGTTCCATAGGTCGGATCCCGTCGTAAATTTGAACTTCTCTAGTTTTTTCGTCCTTGATAAAATTCATACTGTGACTGGTCTTCTCCGTGATACACGTCGAAATTGCTCCTTTATTTGTTGATTTTTTAAACTTATTCATTGCTTTTTCTAAAACATCATTTTTGTTGCCATCCACGCACCATTCAGAAAAAATTCTTTCCACAAAACCTTCTTCATCATATTTAGGCACTATGTGAGCAGCATGCAAAAGATCACCAGTTTTGTCAAATTTTACAAGCATTTTTCGTAAGTCTTCCATTAATCTTTGCTTTGAACGACGGAATATTTGAACGACATTGTTGGTATTAGTCCAGTTTTTCCAAAATGATCTTTTTGTTCACAAACATGAAGGAGTGAAGATTGTGCTGTGAAATATAAACCAGTTAGACTTAGTAATTCCTTGACAATCGGCAAGGTTTCTTAGGAACACAGGTGTAATTACACTAGTAAACTAGCCGATGGCTTACATAGCTAGTTAATAGACTATTTTAGGTTCTCCTCCATCAGTTACCTGAATGCTTTTTTACATTCTCAAGCTCTGGTTCTCTGTGCTAATTAGTCCTTCAAAAGCTTAATCTTTTAATTTTTGCAACAGTTTAGGTCGATATAAATTTGGACATTTTTCATGCAACATCACAAGTATAGCAATTAGACCGCACGGGGCATACTGTATTTCACGGTGCATAAGTTTTCCAAGATCATTAAGTTTCACGACCCAAATACCCGTTGTTTATTTTAGGAAGAGTAACAAGTAATTAATTTTACTTGGTTTTTTCCAAACATTTCGATGATAGCTGATAAACATGAAGATCATGTAATTGTTATAGTTGATGGTAGAGCATACATATCTGCTTAATACATCTAAACTATAAATGAGTTTCTCGTTAAGTTTTTACAGATATTTTTATACCGGTCTAACAGCAACCTGTGATGATTTTGATTTTATCCACGAAAATTTTTTTACCAAGAATGATACAATGAATGTATTCTGAAAATGCTAAAAAGCAGGTAGTCTAAAAAACTCGCGCACGTAAGATTTCTTGAGTGATAGTCAAAGATTGGATCAGAATAGTAAAATTAATTTAAAATCTAACCCAAAACTATGGTAACAGAACAGGTTTTTTATGTATTTTTTTGTGGAGCAATATTTTAAAGAATCAGTGCTTACCATTTTTGAGATTCTTCGTCTTCAAAGGTGGTTACTCATATTTGAATTCCAGCTCAGATCATCCATTGGAGGTTCCTTATTGCTTACGTTACCTATTTCACCTACTAACTGCCACGTGAGTTTTGTGCAAAATAATTGAACTGCTTACAATTTTCTACAAAAATGTACATTGTAAAAGAAAACTACATGAAAAACAAATACAATAACTTCGGTGTCACACATATTGTTGATTTGCTTTTCGCTGATGTATCACTATCGTCTCATTGACTTTTTAAACCTGGGTCTGTAAACTAATAAAAATAGGTTCCAAATACATTGCGGTTACGGTAATGTGAATTTTCTAGCTAAATTAGTGTTGATGTGTTAATTTTATATTTTTATGTTGCATCCTACGAATACATATAAATAATCTCAACAAATCGTTTTTTTTTAATTTAAAGGAGTTAATGAAACACTTAAGAATTTACAGGTATTTTACCGAAAGCAATGTTTTGTTAGATACATCCTCGCTCCCCTTTAAACACTGTTCACAAAAGAAGTCATCATGACATCACTACTAAAATTTGCACGTTTGTAATTTACTATAACCATAATACACAAAAGGTAATGGTTTCCGCTCATCATAATAATTCGTAAACATAAATTATTCTTTTACATGGTTTGTACTCAGGCCCTTCTCTCGTGATCTCCTGAACGTTTTTTGGCAGCAATTAACAAATAATCAAGAAATTATTAATTAAATATACAAATGTAATGAATTCAATGTACAAGTCCCAAGGAACCACACTGTAGATTTCACTATCTCAGTAATAATCAAGTATTGTTGAATGAGTCTGATTAAAAATGTTCTTTCTCTACTTCTTCTTTCAATTGGACATTTAATGGAAGCTGGCAGCTGGTGCAACAAAGCAATGTTTTCAACATTATTTTAAAACCAAGAAAGCTATGAGAATTCCATGTAGCTTTTAATAAAATAAAAAATAGTCACACAAGAATATTTAAAACATATGATTACATTTTATAATTACATTAATTCAGACAACCGAAATTTGTAGTTTGGGGGAATGAAACTAGCAAATCCATGGTGCACATAATACATATTATTACAACAGTCCAAAACAATCAAACTCTACAACTTCAAAGCTTCTGCTCTTACTATGAAACATTACATGCCTAAAATCACAAACGAAATAACATTACATGTAGACAATCAACCTTAAAATCAAGTTCATTTAATTGGGAGCTTGAAGGTAAAACTGTTTGCAAATTTTGAGCAACTGTGTTTGAGTTTTCATGACGAAAATTACATAATGGTTATGTATTATCTTAAAACCAGCAATGTTACTGTTAATGATACAATTTTATATTTAATTGTGCTATGTAAATTTCACATCATTAGCTTATGTATAATATTTATGCTGTATAAATTGTTCGTGTAAGAGTATATACTAAATTCACTTTAGCACCATGGAAGCTGTAAATTCTGTGTCAAACTCCCTTTTTTGTAAATTATTCACATGACCTTCTTCAAGCTGTTTCTTACAAATGCTTGAAGAGCTTTTAGGGAAAACCTCGGCGATCTTAAACTTTCCATTTTCTCCTTTTTCTAAGACTTGCACATATAATCTGCGAACATTCCCGTCAAAACCTATAAGTGTTTGTCTTCCGTTTGTATAGTCGAAAGTGTTAACCTTATCTCCTTCCAGTTTTAAGTTTACTCTATGGCTGACTTTGTCGGTAATATAAAACAAAATGCCAGCTTGACATCCCGATTTTTTGAATTCACATTTTGCCTTTTCCAAATTAAAATGATTGTTGACATCCAAGCGGTCATCGTTGTGTATAGTCTTCAATAAGCCTTCTTCTTCAAACAGGTCAACTGCGTGCGGACATTGCACCACATCATCCCTTTTTAGAAAATCCTCCAACTTTTGCGAAATCAAGCTCTTTAAATCCTCAATTGAGGTCTCCTTTATATTCAAAACTGAGTAAATTTCGCCACAAAGATTTTTCTTCAACACAGACTCTCTTAATTTTGGCAACAGTTGTGCTTGACACAAATTTGGGCATTCTTCATGCAGCATCACGGATATAGCATCTAGATTACACGAGGCATGGGGACACGTAAGAATTCCTAGGGGATCAAGTTTGATGACCTATAAACCCGTTGTATAATTTAGGTAGAGTAACAAGGAATTAATTTCACTAAGTTTTTTCGAAACATTTCATTGATAGCTGCTGCTTATGACGATCATGTAATTGCTAATGTTGATGCCATGCATACGTTTCTGGTTCATACAGCTACATTATAAATGAGTTACTCATTGAGTTTTTACACATGTCTTTATATCTGGTTAACAGCAAAGTGCAATAGTTTTGATTTTACACACGAAAATGTAAATGATACAATGAATGTAATCTGAAATAGCTAAAAACAAGATACTCTTAAAAACAGACACACATCAGATTTCTTTAGTGGCAGTCTAATCTTGTAAATATTAGGATCCTTTTCCTTTAGCTAAAGTCATTTCAATGTCGTTTACTTAAAGACTATTATTACATGCATTAGCTAAGCTACAAAAAATATGGAGAAAACTGCCATGATAAAATCTATAAACGAGATAATTGATTTAATTGATTATTTTACCAATGGATTTTCACTCCTAAAGTGCCTGTGACATAGAGAAATATTAAATACATCTTCTGAAGCCAAGTTATAAAAGAATTTACTAAAAAAATGAGATCAGTTGCATTTGTTTCTCAGAATCCGTAAGCAAAAAAAGTGCGGTTGTTAAAAATTAGGATTTATGTATTTTACAAAAATAAGAACTATATGATGTAGACATTGACAAGGGCAGATAATGATGATGTATGTTAACTGATGAACGATATAGATGGAAATGTGTGTTTAATGCAGTTAAATGACAAATAAATTCATAATAAGTCGCTACTAAAACATTTACCTCCTGATCAGATGAATCAGAGAATTTCTGAAATAAAAACAGATACAGAAAGGGCTTCACAATTGGTTTTTAGGAAAACAAACATAATAAACACGAATAAGCACGTCCCTACTAGCTACGTCATAGCTACTAGACACGGTCCAACTACGCCCCTGTATTTTTTAATCCAATTGAGTTTTTTTCCCTCCTTGTTCACTTAAATGGTAAATTAATTATTTCCTGAATTTATAGCATGCAGACTTAAAGTGGCGAAGTCTAAGATACTACACAAGACAAATGACATATGACAGATGCACAATTTTTTAACCTAAAACGTTGTTTCTTAAACGGATTTCCTCTCCTATGATTTTTCTTATGTAGTTTGAGATATTATCATGTGATTCATGACTTATACTAAAAAAAGTATTTTTGAATTAATGTTGTCTATAAAATAATTGCAACAATTTTTACTCATACATTGTTTGTTCAGGGATGTACACGAACTATTCCATCAAATGGAAGCAATAGTTCGTTGCGGAAGATTTGAAATTTTAGATAATTTAGAAAAAGTCAGATATTGTTTCGTCATTTAGGAAAAACATATCATCGTTCTCTATAGCTTGGCTTTAAGAGTTTTTCAGTTAGTAAAAATCTAAATTAGATTTTGCAATGTCCTGACAAAATCGTTTAAAAAATGTTTACCCTTTTGATGAATTTTAAGGAATGTGCGAAAAACTGTAAATCACGATTGCTATTTAAATGATTCAAATGGTTGCTATCAACATTATAACTCGAATGTACACCGTTTATGTCACCGTGTACACAGGCAACAAACAATTTCAAAGTAGCTCGATACGCCAGATAATGAATATATGTATATATAACATCTTTTGTAACAAAAACTTTTCAACAATTCTGTTAGTTGGTCTACAATTTTTGAACTAAAAGGACATTATGGAAAATTTACAGTTTACTATACCGGAGAGATGATTGTCTCGCCAGAGACATCCTTGCACACTTCTGTCTATAAAATAATAACTTCATAGTTTTCAAACAAGAGTTTACCAAATACTTTTGTTTGATATTAGTAACATATAATCACACACACCTTATCCTTTGTATTTGGTTTGTCTGCAAGTCCATCTCTCATGTTTTTCTTCGCGTTTTGCGTCTAAAATCAGTCAATGATAATTTACACATTGTATATGAACATTAATGGATGAGACTTGAAACCAGGTACAATTTTTTAATGAAACAGAAGCTCTTTGTCATTTAAAGAGTGATATATACGAGTCTTTTTCTTAAGAAGAAAGAATGGCGTAAAATTCTAAGCTTTTTCCATAACAAATAAGAGGATTTTTGAATGAAGTTAAGACTGAGATAACATATGAAAATGGAGTAGTTAGGCAAAGCAATGAGATGTTTTCTTTCTTGCTCAATCAAATCACTATGAGGCAACACTTTTGTGAAGAAATGAATAAGAATTCTACAGTTATTTTATAAAAAACGTCCTGTTTATAAATTTCCGACAACAATTGATCGGTAAACTTTTCCCTATGCAGCTCTTCCCCTGCCAAATTAATTGTATTCCTATAGCTGACGTATGTATAATTTAGCACAATAATCAAAGTTTGTTTCTAGTTTTATTATTAGGAAAATAAGAAAAATCCCCACTATGCCTTTGCAATTAAATATTTATTTCTTTGAATTTTCTGAATCCAATTTAAATTTATAACATAAAATAATTCGCTAGATGTTGTAAACTGCTGCCATTAACGGTGTTGATCTCGGGATTTTTAAGTGAAACTGTTTGCATTCTTTTTTGGGAATTTTTTATTAGGAATAGGAAAATTAAGGTTTAAGGAAGAGCATTTTGTGAAAATTTTTTCGACTTATAAACGATTGTGCCACACAATATAAAGATAAACTACGCTGTCTAACCAGTTAGCTGTACATCTCAACTTGTAGAAAGCTGTGGCTTGTACATAAGACCGAAATTTTAATGAAAAAAGCCACAATGTGTGTAGTGAGTGTAGTGATTTCCTTTTGCTTCAAGGAGACTGGGATTTTAAGGAGTTTTGAGATCTTTTGAGACTTAGGATTTTAATGAAATTACCCTGGGGAGCGTAGTTCGTGCAATTTTTATAGCTTTCACCATTCAACAACCTCATCAACTACATGCTAGACATTTTCCTTTACAATAGACTTATTTTTCTCAGCCATCGTGTACTGATGTCTACTTTCCTGGGGAATTTGATAAATGTGATGTGAAATTAGAACACTATTATAGGCAAAAAAAGACATACCGTTGGATCTTGTAGTTTATCAGTTTCTGTTACTGCTTGCTGTTGTAATGTTTCTTGCACATCTGGCCGCTATATACAATAAACATATATTGAATGAAACAGTTTCCTACCCACCTTTCATGTTAAAGGAAGTTTGGTCGTTCAAATTAAAACTCATGAAATTAAAAAATAACTACACAAGGATGAAATTTTTTGCTGACTTGCGACTCTAATCTCCGTCTTTTATTGTTTTCTTTGCTGACTTGCAAATTGCACTTCTGTATTTCGTCTTCTCGAGCTCGTTTTTTGTTGAAAGATATGCAGGAACTACTTCTGCGTAGAACTTTTGTAGTTTTGTGTTGAATTAATGTTTCATTGTGACTGGATATCTTACTTGTATCCCAATGGTTTACATTTTCCTAAAAAAGGACAACTATTAATGTTTTCACTGGTCAATTATTTTGCTCAATAAATAGTACTGAGACACAAGTCTATTCTATTTTTAGTGTGTCATTGTTTTTTGTCCACTTACGGAAGAGTTTGAGAGTTGCCATTTTAAGTAATGTTTCTACATAGAACAACTGTCCGGATGCGACTTCAATGATTTTAAAAAAATTTAAATGTTAGTATTAAATTTTTATTAAGTGTTATTTAGGGCACTATAAAAACAAATAGTTTGTCCATGTATGGCAGGGTTTTCTCTAAAAGTATTCAAATCAAGCAAGGGAAAATGCTCTATTCGAACAGTAGTGAGATGATTTTGAAGCCCTACTTAGGGCCTGTTTATATGAGCCGGGGTGCCCATTTTACCGGGCTAGCCCAAGCAGTTGCAAGATCTCGCCTCTTTTAGCATTTACATGTAATTTCAAATTTGATTCATATGAGAAGCAGACTGGCCCGTAATGCCGGGATATCGCTTAAGAGAGGCAGGATCTCGTAATAAACGGCTCACGTGAATGCACTACGCGAGCTATCCCGGCATGCCGGACTAAACATCGCACGAGTGCGCATGCTCATAAAATTCAGCATGCAAAATACAGGGCTAGCAAAAGTACAACTTCGGTGGACCATAAAATAATGCATAACACTATTGAGTTTATTTCAGCTTATATAAGTAACATAAAGTATTGGGATTTGGACTTTTATCCTGCGTTTGTAATTAATTATTTCTATACTTGCCGGCCCAGCCCGCCTCATGTAAATCAAATAATAAACTGGCCCTGCAAAGTGAGCCAGCCCGACTCATATGAACAAGCCCTTAGTGACTGCGAGTCTTAATATTGAACTAATTTTGACAATCACAAATAAATATATCAATAGCCCATTGACGTTCAACAATTGACCAAAATTTCATTTTGTATACCACGTTCAATTATGATATTATATTCCTAATTTTCTGTTTTGGAAAGCAAGAAACACCACTGGTGATCAACTGCAAGGGTAAACTTAACAATACATTTTATACGTATAGCCAACATACTGAAATAATTCCGCTTCCGTCAGTCTCTTGAATCTGGCCTCCTATACTCTCTTCCTCTGTTTGTGCCTGTAAATGAAAACAATAGCTTTTCTTCAGTTGGTCCTCAATGTTACAATTTTAAGAACACACCAGAGAATTTACAGGTTATTATCGTTATACCGGACATATTTTTCTTCGGGCTAACGAATGAAAGTCCGAGTTTGAATTTTTGATTATCCTATATTGTCGCGAGAATACATAAATCAGGTATGACTGATCCGAAGTCGTTGAACTAATCTAATTCCTTCTTGGTTCGTTTCACGCGCGAGTGTCACTTATGGCACGAATTATAATAAATAATGATTTACATGCATGTTAATATTATGTTGCCACATTTGAAATCATTATAATACACAAATATAACCAAATACTGTTCTCGAGCAGCCCGTGTAAATGCCTGATAGGTATCTTGTTTTGTGAGAAATATAACCCACGACTGACAGGTCATCTATTGAAACTTATTTGTGTTATAACTATAATTCACATAATACAAATGGGTTCTATAACAAAAAAATGTATGAGCATACTTTTTTGCTTCTTCTAGGTATATTAAGTCCGTACGTGGTCTTTCGATACAATAAAAAAATAACTAAGTAATGATAAAATATGTATGTGTATTTTAATGATATTCATTGGGGAGAGAAAGGAATCTCTTTAAAAATACACTGACTGAAATTTAATGAGTAATGAATATGGGCCACTTTCTTGATTACAATAAAAGCATTGCCTTTGAAATAGTATAAAACGTACGCATTTATGCGTAAAAAAGAAAAAGATCAAGCTCATACAGGTTGATCTTTACTCCGACATGGCATATTATGTTTAAAAAAAATACATTGTTTTTTAACATAATATGCCATGGCGGAGTAAAATAAAGTTTTTTTCTCTATATTACTGTCAAGAAGAGTACTAAAAACCTATAGTTGTATTATGATACTGCTGATTTATTTTATCTTCCCCAACAATTCATCAAGCTTTGTTTATTCTCAACTTTTCATGTATACCTCAAAACTGTCCAAGTCTGTATCTTGCGTCTCGGCCATGATGATCTGACATAGAAAATGAATTTCACATTACTCTTTAAGGACATTGCAAACATGGGGCTCATTTCATTGAGAAGCAGCCTTTCAAGGGAAATGTTTGACAACATGTAAACAAATTAAGATTTTACCAAAATAACTTAAGACCTGCTGCTGAAAAGAGTAAAAAATTAAAAAAATCAAAATTTTGTCTCAAAAGTTTCTAAATATCCGTAGTTCAAGTTCAAATATCCGAATAAATTATAAAGATCTATGATGTAGACCACGAAAAGAATGTACACCATTGCATGGAGCATAGGCGTGGTTAACGAACGTTAACCACGCCTATGCTCCATGCAATGGTGTACATTGAACATCATAGTTAACGAACGTACCATTACGTCATTATGCGTGGTTTATTATGCGGGCTTTTATTTGTTTTGAAAAGGCATTTTATGATTTTTTTCTTTAAAAGAATAATTTTCGAGATTTTTGGTACAAGGAACAACTTTTTTGGGCGAGCATTCTCATCATCCCCTGTCAAATTTGTTGAGATGTAAATTTTTCGAGCATGTCCATTTGTACAATTAATCTAGTGCAGTCTATTTTATGAAAATTTTTAATCCAAACCAGCGCAATTTATACTATAAAAAAGTGAATTGAAATACATGTTAATTTAATCTAACGAAACTTATGCTGTGAAAGTTTGGATTGGGAATGTAAACTATGGAAGGCCTGCAAATACCGGAAACTGATTTAAGAAGGACAAACGCTCAAACAGTGATTTGCGAATTCGTAAATCGTAGGAGCGCTGGCTTACAGTTACAGTATCCAAATTTTTCGATACTTGGTGTAAGAATCGACATTTCGTAAATATCGACAAGTATCGATACTTGGTATCAGGTATCTTACAAACGAGGGTGCGAGAAAAGCGCTTTACATGCTTATTTTTTGGTAATATTTTGTTGATTTTGGTGATTTGGGGAGCTTGGCTTAGTAATTTCCTAGTGATTAATAGTAGTAGATAGTAAGTGATGCAATTTAATATTTAACCGTTTGATATTATGATGTATTGCAGAAAATGATACTTTAAAGCACCAAGTCAGTGTTAGCTACATCTTACACAGCATGCACATGTCGGTATAAAAAAGATCTAGCGACCTGCCTCAGGGACAGCGGAAGCAAGAGACAAAGCAGACAGGACAAGCTTGACTTGAACTCTCAATCTCAAAAAACTGCAATTATGATCTTCACATGGTATGTTTTCATAAGCCCCCAATATTTTCTTCTACTGAGTTAACCATGCAAATGACCGTTAATATGTTCAGATCGAATGACGTTCGAAAAAAAGCTTGCATAGTCCAAAATATGTAAATAAAAATTAACTGACAAATTCCTATGCACATAAAATTTGGAACAATCCTCTCCCTTCCAAAAATAAGAAATGCTGCCTATAAAACTGCGCCTGTGAAAAAAAGCCAATCTTTTGCTTCAAGTGTTACGTTGCTGTATTCATTTGGTAAGGACCTTAAACTAAACTACACATCTCGTGTTCCACTGAAAATACGACTCTCAAATCTTGATCAATGACAACCTAATACTATCGTCCTCTAGCTCTTTCGATGTAGCTTTACCAACATTGGAGAAAAACGACACTTCTTCTCCTATATTGGTAAATAATTCGTCAAAAAACTTACTAGCCGAAGGTTTGTCTCAGAACTTAGGTTTTTGAGTGGCTGTCACTACGACGAGTTAATTCCTGTACCGCAAACCCCCCTGCCAATTCCCAACTCATGAACACTCATTTATTTACGGTGTGATGAATGATAATTATTTTGTTTATCTTCGTGGGGGTATAAAACTAAACAATAATGGCAGGCACAGTAACACACTCTTAATGTAAAATGTGCATTACAGAAATAGCCTTTTTTGATTTTTTTCAAACATCCAGTCAATTATTTGACGTCGTCATGATATTTAAAATATCTACGTACGACAGTGTTTAAGTGTGTCGAGGATAGCCACCGTCTGAACGACATAGTCGACATTAAAGAATCAAGTGCACGCTTGAATTGAATTGAAACCGATTAAAGCGTCTGTTGATTAACAGCTGGGCATCAGTCATGATTATGATAAAAAAAAGTTTCTTTTGGCGGAGATTTTGAAAATTCTTGTATCTACCAGCAAGCAAAGTTCAGAAAGTTGATAATTTTTACGAAAAGTCATAAATCTCTGTTTCAGTGCTTGGTTTGCAAATATGTGTGCAAGACTGCAAATGTGTTTATCGTATGCTCATCAATGCTTAAGGAATACAAAATTTTCCACACCTTACAGCGTATATAATAAAAAAAGACAATAGATGTAGTTTGGATGTGATACAACAATGAAAAAATTTAAAGAAATATATATAAATATATTAATGGAGAATCTTCATGGATAAAAGAGTGCTCAATACCCTATATATTAGAAGAGCGTAAGATAAAATGAAATAAGATGGACAAGTGTTAGCTATCGCTACTCCGAGTTTCACGCCGTAGGGTGATCTTCAGGCAACTGACAGATTATATATTATTTGCTGACTACATACATCGATTTAAAGGTGTTAAGTTACATGACAGCATACTCTAAACATATCGGAACATTTATTTAAAATGTTCTTTTTAAGTTCTTTTAGGATAAGTAGTCCACCTACGAACGAGAACCAAAAAACCTGCCGTCTTTGCCTTGAAGAAAGTACATTCTGTGTTCCAAGTGCAGGAGTCACCATAACACTGTGGTGATAGCCGGGAGTGCACATTGTTTATACACTTTGTATGTATTATATATATATTATTAGCCTCTTTACATTCACAAATCGTCCAACCAACCACCATCGGTATCACGCCAACTACCCACATCCATCAACAACCGAATTAACACACTCTCATCTAGCAAAGACACCTTCGAAAATGCCGCACCAATTTACAACCAAGCTCTTAAACAAAGCAGCTTCCCAGAGGCGGATTTAAACTTAGTCAACTAAGTCGGGCGACTAATGTATTAACGTGTCACTTTCAAAAAATTCCGTGGGTATTCCTTGAATTATAACACTTGAGTGCTTTAAAATTTCTGCAGGATTTGGGTCCATATACCAATTTTGATTGGTTTAAATTGATCAATTTGCGAGCATTCATTGGTTAGCGTATCGTGCAGGATCTGCAGGATCTATGTTCATTCTGTGATTCTGATTTGCCCAGACGAACCAGCTATATAGCTGTAATTGGTGGAGATTTCTTGCAGGATCTATACCAATTTAAAGCTTGTGATTGGTCAACATTGTTAGTTTTTTGCAGGATATATCTATTTTTGGTATAGATGTAAATGCTGAGACAGTCTATTTGCCTCATCATGTGAAGGCCGATAATACGAAGCCATCGGTTGCTCTAAGGTAAAATTAATTAAATTAAGATAAGTAGAAATGAATATAAATCTAATTGCGTAGTTGTTATGACACGTTAAGACCAAAACTGCCGATTTGTTGTCATTTCATTGTTGTTGAAATGATCGCTTTTAACTCGCTTTGTTGACATTGCATAAATTGTTGCAGTCTTATAATAATCAAGAAATCTTTCGACTGCTGTTTTATTAGATCTGAACCATCTGGAAATTGTCTATACAGCTCTGCTTCTCTGGCCTTGGTTGGAAGCTATGCTCTCATTCACACTTTGAGAGCTATGGTATCTATAGAGCTTTTTATATATGCAAATTATTATTGTTATCATCCAATATTCACTTCCACCTTAGAGAAGCATGGTGACAAGGTCTCTGTTAGTGCAAAAAATGTTTTGGCTATGTCCTGTTGTTTTGAAAGTGTGGATTCACGTTTATCAGGGCTTGATCTTGTTAAAATGGAAGCTCTTTGCAACTGTAGAGATAAAATTTGGGGTAGTTTTTGTGTATACTTGCTCTCTCCTCAGTTACTAATAGAATCATTTCTTTGATGTATCCTGATTGTGGAGAAGTTTCTTTTAAGTTGTTATTCAACCAAATTATTTCACCTCGTCTTCCTTTACCAACACCACCTACTCAATATAACTATTTATACCTCTTGTTTTGTTCTACAACTCTATTGACTTCTAGTAAAGTCTTTAAGCCAAATCACTTTGCACCTCTTATTTTCAAACCTATCAGTAAAACTAAAAGAAAGGCTTCTGCTTTGTTAGAAAAAGCTAACAAGAAAATTCCTCATGTTCAGGCAAAGTTGAAAGGAGAGTCTTCTACTGTTAACATTTCTAATTTTTTTCAACCAGTTTCAACCCCAGCAAGTAATAAGGCTAAACAATTTATTTTGCCCAAATTATTTAGTACTACACAAACACAATCAACACAAAAGGTGCCTGCCATCACTAGTCTTGGTTTAATACATAACCCAAAACAAGAACTTTTGCAATCATTTTCATTAGATTTTTCACAGCAATATCCAAATGATGTGAGATATTTTAGAGAAAAGCTAGAAATATGAATGATTCTCAAAAGCTCCAGCTCATTCACAATGTTTTAAACCGAATAGATCCTACCCATTTCCTAAATCAGCTGATGGTCGATCTTTTCTTTATTCGTGGCTGGAAGATTATTCTTGGTTGTGTTACTCCCTTCTTTGGATGGTGCTTTTTGTCTGCCTTGTGTTTTGTTTGGTGATCAGTTTCCGAATAAAAATACAAAAATTAAAAAACTTTTTAGTGAACCAATGACATATTGGCCTGATGCTAAAGCTTGCTTCAAACGCCATATTGGTTTGAGTTCTAAGGCTCTCACCAGAGCAGGTTTGCACGAAAGCACACGTAATAAATATTTGTCATTAGTTGGTCAGGCATCAGGAGAAGGACTGCAGATTGAGGTGTTGATTGATGAGCACAAACAGCAAGTCATCAGGCAAAATAGGGAAAAACTTGTATCAATAATTGATACTATTAAACTTTGTGGTAGACTTGGGTTAGCATTAAGAGGGCACCGTGATGATTCTTCATATCATCCGGAGGTTGGTTCTTACTCAAAAGGTGGTGTTGGTAACTATGTTGAATTGTTAAATTTTCGTGTTCGGGCTGGTGACACAGTTTTAGCTGATCATTTGAAAAACTGTCCAAAGAATGCTTCTTATATTTCAAAGACTACTCAAAATGATCTAATTGCTGCTTGTGGACAGGTTATCACTGAAAAAAATAACTAGTGAAATAAAAATAAATAAATTTTTTAGTATAATTGCTGATGAAGCAGCAGATTCTGCAAACAAAGAGCAGCTTTCTCTTGTGATTCGTTTTGTAGATAGCAATAGGAATGTTAGAGAAGATTTTGTGAGGTTTTTGCACTGCAAATGGGGTTTATCAGGGGAAAGTCTTGAGAAATTAATTCACAGTGCATTAACAGAACTAAAATTAAGCATTGAGGATTGCAGAGGTCAGGGATATGATGGAGCTGGGGCTGTTGCAGGGCATATCAATGGTCTTTCTGCACGCATTCTTCGTTTGAATTCTAAAGCAATCTACACCCACTGTTACAGCCATAGGTTAAATCTTGCAATATGTAATTCATGTTCTGTCCCCTTTGTCAGAAATGTTTTTAGTCAAATTAAAGAACTTTCTTACTTTTTCAATCTCTCTGATGGACGGCAAATGTTACTTTCAAAAGCAGTTGAAGACTATTGCCCACATTCAGGTAAATCAAAGTTAAAGGATGTTTGTCGAACTCGATGGATTGAGCGAATAGATGGTCTAGATATATTTCAAGAATTATTCCTTCCAATTTTTCATACTTTAACTGAAATGAGCCATAATGCTGGTCATGTGTGTAATCCAGAAACATCTTCTAAAGCTTCTTCTTTCCTAGCATTGATTTCCACCTTCAGATTTATTGTTAGCCTTGTCATTAGTAGAAATATTTTAGATTTAACACTTCCTGTTACTCAGTTATTACAAGCTAAAACCTGTGATGTTATGGATGGAATGCATTTAATTGAGTCATTAAAAAACTTGGGAATTTTATTGAGGAATGATGTTGATTTATATCATGGTAAATGGTATAGTGAAGCAGTTTCTTTAGCTAAAAACGTAGATGTCGATGAAAAAATGCCCAGAACAGCTGGCAGACAAGTTCACAATGAGAATCACCCATCTTCTAGCGCTTCAGATTATTACAAAAAGGCTCTCACTATTCCTTTTCTAGACCACTTAAACTCTGATCTTCAGGCAAGATTTGATTTTAGTCAAATCAACGTTTATAACGGCTTTAGCGTTGTTCCATCAAAAATGATTTCGCTAATTAACAGTCTTCCACCAAACAAAAAGAATTGGAAAGAGAATTTTCGTTTGTTTTCAGATTTTTTACAAAGATGATCTTCCTAATCCCTTAGGATTAGATGCTGAATTGGAATTATGGGAAAAGTTTTGGACAACATATGAGGGATCATTACCGGACAGTGCAGCTTCCACACTTAAAGCTTTAGGGTTTGAAGGTTTTGAGAATATTAAGGCATGTCTACGGTTACTAGCCACTCTTCCAGTTACTTCTTGTGAGTGCGAACGCTCTATTTCAGCACTTCGCATGCTTAAAACTTACAACAGAAGTACGATGGTTGAAGAACGCTTAAATGGACTTGCACTAATGCGAATACATCAGGAAATAGAGCCTACTGTTGATGAGGTGATCAATAAATTTGCGTATGGAAACCGGCGATTAGAACTGAAATTGTAAAAATTTGACTCTTTAGGCTTGGTCATTATAGTTTTGACGAGAAGGAAAGAAAGAGCTTCTAATTTTTTGTATAGTCACGATATCTCATAAATCTTAGTGACAAACGTGTCACTTAGCCTTAATTTTGTATATTAAATAATTTCACTATGGGTAATCCTCTGAGCCTGCGTGAAACCATTTTGAAATTATTTGTATGATGTGTCGCATCATTTTAATATGTCTATTCAAGTTTGAATTAGGAATATTGGATGTAGTATTTCATCTCTTTCTCGTAGCACTTTTTAAAAGAACATTGAAAACGTCAATTTATGTGTGTCATACACAGCACAATTGCTTTCGTATCTCTGTGAAAATGGTACAAATATACAACATCTTCTGTCACTAGACTTTTAAAATGACCACCACTAAGGTTGTCGAAACGTCAGTCAACATCAACATCAACACCAACAGTCCTTAAGTTACCTAACATACAAGAAATATTCACCTTTTGTAAGGTCTTAATTAATGCATATGCGTTTTGATCTGGGAATAACAAAAACTTTGTCTAATTGTGATACTTGTGAAGGAACAATTGACCTTATGAAAGACCAAATATTTAACTTCATCATTAACAGGGTTACTGACATTTGGATTCATGCTCTCAAAGGAATTAATAAGTTAACTGTGTCACCAGTCAATAGCATATCTTTTCCTAAACAATACGTTTTTATAAAAGAAATCAGTTTGAGCTTGGAGTATCGTAAAAATTTATGGAAATTGAATGTTTAGGTCAGCGTTTCGACGTTTTCTTTAGCGGTGGTTTGTGTTACTTTTCTGTTTAGCTCGGCAAAATAACCATTAGATTCTGATTATGTGTGTGCATATTCTTGGGGCGAGGTTAAAGGATTAGAATGACAGGGATGATGTAGAAAACTGAGCAATTTTACATCTTTGAAATGTCCCACGTTGTCGCTTTTTCTAATCAAACTCCTGTTGATTTGTTGCAAAGGTGTGAAAGGCGAGTATCTGGCGCCTTAAAACCAGACTGCTCTCTTTTTGTTTAAGGCTTCTCATTACGTTGAGGCTGTCCATGTCGGAATTGCATTTTCACGTGGTGAGGGTGCCATTTCCTAGGCATGCTGATGAGCTCTGATATAGGGTGAAATAGTCCTTATAATTCATCATATTAATAATGTTGCGTTAGCAGAATTTTTAGCTAATGCGACCACGCCCATTTATTAAAATTTTGTTCGACCACGCCCTTCCGACTAAGGAATTAAAAATCCTGGATCCGCCCCTGGCTTCCCCACCCAACTCACATTTCAACCATTAAACATTAATAAGAATACCACTTGCAACAGAAAAAATAAGTCACTTGGTTTAACCCACCATACGGCAGAAACGTAAAAACCCACATCACCCACGACTTCGTACAACTTATCGACAAACATTTCCCACCAAATACTATACTCTCCAAGATATTCAACCGACACACAATACGCGTAAACTACAGCGGCGAAAACATGAAAACTATTATAACCATACACAACAAGACTATTTTAAAAAGACATAACCAAGAAATTACTCAGAACAAGAACAGCCGTGTGATTATTTTTTGGCATGTTTCTCCAAAATTGGATGCTTTCCACATAGATACTTTTTATAGAAAGTTATAACATCATTGCTGTCATATACTCTTTTCAAATCCATGTCACACTGCAAATCAATCACCTCCATTTGATAGCAGTCTGGAATATCATCAGGTGTCACATCAAATGGTTGAGAAAAGAGCTTGAACTCCATTTCATCATTCCTGAAACCAATGAATCTGCTTCCAAATTCAGCACACAACTTGGTAATACTCTCAGAATATTTAGAACAATCTAAATCTGGTATGTCTTGTTTTCTATCAGCAGACTTGAAAATGGCTGAGTGCTGCTTTACTCAGCTGACTTTGAAAAAGTTTTAGTTTTTTTTCGAAGGAAAAAATGTGCTCAAACATCTTGTTAATCAACTGACTTTTGCCTTGGAGTTTAACATTTAAGTCTGACATATGTTGTGTGATGTCTGTTAAAAAGGCAAGGTCATTTAGCCACTCATCATCACCTAAAAAGGCCACATCTTGTTGCTTACTTGTCATAAATGACAGAATCTCCTTTCTCAGACTTCAGAATCTTCTTAAAGTAGCAGTTCTACTGAGCCAACGCACTGCTGAGAAGTAAACAACATCAGGATAATCAGAGTCAAGTTCTTCTAAAAACGCCTTAAATTGCCGATGATTTAGTCCTCGAGAAAAGATTTAATTAACACTTGTAACCACATCCTTCATTACATCAGCAAACCCAAGTACTTTGATGCACAAGTTATCTTTGTGAATAATACAGTGATTCACCACCACACCCTCTGTGCCGATGCTATCCAAAAATTTCTTTATAAATCCATTGGTTCTGCCAGTCGTTGTAGGAGGCCCATCAGTGGTCAGGCCACTCAGTTTTGTAGGGTCAAGTTGATACTTTTCCATCAACATTATCACTTGCTCACAAATGTCTTGCCCAGTCGTTGTTGAAGTCATGCTGGCCATATCCAAAAATTCTTCCATATCTTCAAAAGTGTCTGTGACTCCTCTTACAAACACAACTAATTGTGCAGTGCCACTAATGTCTGTGCTCTCATCAAGAGCCAAACTGTATGCTGCACATTAAAACACATTTATTTATCCTCTCTTTTAAAATATCTTCAATATTCTCTGCAAGCTCATCTATCTTGCGAGACACAGTATATCGAGAGAGACTAGTTTGCTGTAATAAACACTTCTTTTCAGGACATACAAAATCAGCAAATATATCTAAGCAACTTTTTACAAATTCTCTATCACTGAAAGATTTTCCATTTTCTGCCAGTGATTCACAGATTTTAAAGCTAAGCTTTGTTACAAGTTCAGAGTGTTTCTTATAACCAGTAAATACTGCTTGTTGCTTTGTAAGTGACTTGATCATCTCTTCTAACTTGTTTACACTATCTTGACCTTGTACTGCATCATATATTTTTGCATGTGTTTTTGTATAATGTCATTTAATGTTAAATTCCTTCATAACAGCTATTGTAGTTTGGCAGATTACACATACAGCCCCCTGGTTGTGCTGAACATTGAAATATTTGTTGCTGCAATCCTTGTTGAATATTCTTTTCTCATCATCAATTTTCCGTTTTTTACTAGCAGACATGTTTACCTGCTTAAAATTTTAAAAACGAAATTTAGAAATTTTATCATTAGGCAGCTTAAAAGTGCATTAGTTAGTTAATGCTAGTTAGCTAATCTGAGGCCACTGCAAGGCTGAACGAATACAGCCGCTACCGGCGGTAGCCATTGTTTGACGAGCGCTGCTGGTGTTATCGCCTTGTGTAATGTTATACTTTTTAATGCACAAGGCATTCGTTAATTTTATATTTAAAACAATTTAAAATATGACAATTTAGTAAGTAAAAGTTACTGAGAACTCACCTGTAATTCTCAATAGTATATATAACTTGAAAAAGAAGATTTTTAAATAATTCAAGACAAAGAATCTTAAATGACCCACGCTACTCGAAAGATAACTAAACGTCCTTGAACTGGTGTGTTTTATTTGGCTATGCCACTAAATAAAGAACCGTATTTTTTGCGCAGTTTCGTAAAGTTCATGGTAAAAAAGATAATTGTCCTGTCATCACTAAGGGCAAATGTTGTGGCCCGCGGGCAGTGGGTTGCACATGCCTGTTATACAGCGTTTTTCAAAAACAAAAACGATATCTTTTTTTGGCATTTCTTTTAAAATGCAAACACTTTAATCATTCAATTGTTGAACATCGTAATGTCCACAAAATGGAACATGTCGTTTTCACAGGTGAGATATTTGTTTTGTTTGTTCATCAAAAATGAGAAAGCAATTGAACTTGAAGCCTGAACAATAAGATCCGACTCATGTTTTCTTATTTATGTTTTTAAATATCAACATAATTTTCCACTTATTTGTTAATGTGTGAAAACGTAAATCTGTTTGCGAAATAGTTTCCCTAAAGCGAAAAGGATTCTGATCTTTTTACTCAGTGGGCAGATACTTTGAAGAAATGATCCCCCAAAAAGTACCCATAATGTAGAGTTTGTTCTGATCAATTTGCTGACAACATGAAGAGATGATCGGTTGGAAAAGTGTTTCTGGAATATGCTGCAGTACCAGTACCAATACTGTTTCTAAGATCACTATATAAAGACAATGGGAAGATGCTAAATGCAAAATTATAAGGCTGAATACAAACGAAGGTAAATGATTTACGGACTTCCTTGTCCAACAGCTACTTCAACTTGGACTAATTCTAAGGGTGGAGATAATGGATTTAGTAAAGATGCCTCGAATGCTTTGAAAGTAAAGGTAAAGTACCAAATAAAGATGACAAGGTTTTGTGTATCTTTATGCTGGATGAAATGTCAGGTAATAAGGTCATAAAGTTTGTGCTTGTGTCAAAATTAACACTGACATTGATGATGACTTGCTGCAACTGTACAATCCAGTGAATTTTTTGACACTAAATTGTAAAATCATGTCACATCTCTTTATTAAATTATTTTAGTAGAATGTTGCTTGAATGTTGCTTATATGTAATGCATGCCATATTGAAGCATTAAAGATTCCGTGATGAAAACTTCAGTGCTATGTATTTCTTCTTAATTTCAGTTTTTGCTGTAAAAATACTTTGAGCTCATTTGCCTAATAGGGTAAAAAATGGACATTTGCCATTTCCTTTTTTTCCCTTTGTTAAACAAGGGAAAAGTTTTTCTTCAGTTTTTTGCTTCTTAATTCATTTCATAATATGAATGAAATACATGTAGTACAGCTTTATAACTCTATAATTTCTTAAAAGCTATTAAGCTGCTACCATTGAAGAACGCAAAATATGTTTAATTCATCTGGTTTTATCGCCTTATTTTTACATGTGTATATGCACTTCATCATTCTTGTATAAACAACACCAGATGTTGCATACTTAGAGGGATAAGTTCCATAGCAACTGGTATTAAATATGGGTATAAAATTTATTACTGAGGTGAAAGCCGTATTAGTTAATAAAATTCTGAACTCAAATGTCAAATAGGAAACACATAAGAAAGAGAAAAAGAAGAGAAATATTAAATTCACAATTTTGTATTCATGTATTCAAGTATTATAAACACTAATGTAATTTTAGTGTTTTTATTATTTGCATTTTTGCCATTTCACAATCATTACAGCGAAATCAAATATGCCACATTTTGACAAGTATTTGATGCAGTTCTTGTTCAGACGACAACAAAAATCTTAAAGGTTCTCATAATTTGTATACAGTATTTTTTTTTCATCATTAAATTACGAAACGTGAGATTCATGTAAAAAAACAAATCCTACAATTGTTGCAAAAAAGGCCATCACATAAAAGAAAGCAAAAAACTTATGAGAATAAATGAGCTAACATTTCACCAGTGATCCGTTGAGATAAAATATGATATATTTGGTTTCGTGCAGACTACACACTTTGACATCAAGCAAATCATTGAACGACAGTTACGACGCGCAAATCTGCATTCATATGTGGCTAACAAATAGCTCGTTCATCAATAGTTAAAAAAGGCAATCGTCGTAGAAGCCGACAACTGGCAAACACAGTAGACTCGCTTTTATAAAATTTATGTTTATACAGCGATTTTCATCCTAAAACTGCTTGCTAAATATGCGAAAAAAACACATATACGTTTTCCTCACTCTATCTCAAGGGGGAGAGTCATCGGAATGATTCCAAATATCACCCTGAAATTGGTAATTACTCGTGTCCAGGTGTAGGAACTTTTGTGAGGTTGCTTAACTACCGTGTTCGATGTGGCGATGGTACTCTAGAGAGTTACTTAAAAGACCATCCAAAGAATACTTCAAATGTCTCCAAAACCACTCAAAATGAGTTAATCAGATGCTGTGGACAATACATAACTGAACAACTTGTCTCTAAGATTAAGAAAAGCAAGTATTATGATGATTATTGCTTGTGCTTCGTTTTAATGATTCTGAGCTCAATAACAGAGAGGAACTTTTTCGTTTTATTTATTGCAGTGAAGACTTAGCTGGGAAGAATGCCATTTTAAAATGCTTAAACAAAGATCTCTTCTTGGACATAAATGATTGTCGTGGACATGGTTACGATGGTGCTGGTGCTGTCTCTGTCCACAAAAACGGTCTTGTTCACATATTAAAAGCTTAAACAAAAAAGCCATCTACACTCATTGCTATAGCCATAGACTTAATTTAAGCATTTCTACATCTTGCTTTGCTCAGAAATCTCTTGGAAAGAATGAAAAAGTCGCAAATCTTTTCAATTCTTCTGATACAAGACTGCTTTTACCAGAACGCAATATCACTAAATATTGCCCACACCCTTAAAAAAAGTTGTAAAGTGCTTGCAAAACTAGGTGGGTGGAGCGCATTCAAAGTCTTGACACGTTTGAGGAGTTAGTTTTTGCCGCACGTTTGCACACTTGAGGAGATCTTTTACTATATTCATGAACGCAAGAGCAATGTAGAGACATCCAGCAAAGCAGGCCCTCTTTTTCCCTTTCTAGCTACTTTTGAGATCATTCTTTGCCTCGTGATAACAAGATGCTTTTTCGACCTTTCTCTTCCTGTTACCCAATTAGTCCATTGTTCTAGTAACGTATTGCAGATAGTTTGCATTTGATCATTTCTTTAAAAAACTTAGGTCGTGCAATACGTAATGACATCGATATCTATCATACTAGATGGTATAAAATTGCTTTAGACTTAGCAGCGAAGATATATGTTGAAAAAGGTAAACCTCGTACTTGTCATCGTCAGATAAATCGCAGCAACATCCCTGCTGACTGCACTTCAAATTACTATAAGAGATCTATTACGATTGCTGTAGTCGATCATTTAAATTTGGAGTTAGCCAGAAGATTCTTCAAATCTTCTACTAATGTTTACTATGGTTTATATCTAATTCCATCGAAACTAATTTCTTTTCTCTCTCATTCCAAGTCTAGATCCACACGCTGGCAGGATAAGTTTACTATATTTGTTACCATGTTTACTGATGGTCTTCCAAATCCTATTGCTTTGGATGGTGAGCTTGAACTGTGGGAAACTTATTGGAAATCTAATGAGCAAGATAGTCTTCCTGATAATATTATTCAACTTTTAAAGTCATTAACTTTCCGGGGTTTGAGAATATCAAAGTTTTGTTAAGAGTTTTAGGAATCATTCCCGTAACTTCTTGTGAGTGTAAGAGATCTTTTTTAAGGAGACTTAAAGACTATAGTTGAAGTACGATGGTTGAGACTTGTTTAAATGGTTTGGAGTTGATTTACATTCACAATAACATAGAGTTGGATATTCAAAAAGTTATTGATTTGTTTGCAAAGGATAAGAGGGAGATTTAATTGGCTTTTAGCTGAAAGAGAAAACCTTTTTTATTTAACTCCATTTCATTCCATTACATAAAACATTAAATTATATGGACAGTTTTCCCTTCTAACAATATACAGGAAAAGAAATTACTTTATCAGATGCTTCAACCAGCATAAGCGTTTTCTATTTTACACGAAGTTTATTTCATATGAAGTATTGTACTAGAAAATCTATACTTTGTTCTGCTTAAAGATGTAGATGTGTGTACTACATTCCACGTTTGTCATGGACTTAAAGCATGTTTTGTGTTTTGATGGTGTGTCTTCAGTAACAATCAGCATGCTCACAACTGCTAAATATCGTAACTCATTATAAAAACTTTTTTAAGGTTGGGTTTACAAAGACCTGATCGTCCATGTCGAATGCTACAGTAAATATATAGTGCATTCATCAAATGCATCCAAGGCATGCTGATGAGCTATGATATTTAACAAAACGGCTTAAATTCTATAGTCTTAAGCTATTTTTTGGAAAATTCCTTTTCAGGGGAGTGCATGCCCCTGGATTTCTCCTGTGCAGCAAATGCCTCCGGGCATTTTGACTAACAAGAAAAAAATCCTGAATCCGCCCTTAGTGCAACACAACATTATTGATATTCATTTTAAGTTGAGCTGCACAGCTTTTACACGGACAAATAGGAACATAGTCCATTTATTCCTCGATTTAGTCATATTTTTATTCATGTTATAGGTGATACAATTCAATGTACACTGTGAATAATTTCAAAAAATGGGGGGGTTCTGGGATGGTGGTAAACAATTAAAATGAACTGGGATGATAGAAACATAAGCTGAACTAAATTGCTGGAAAAGCCTTTAAAGGAGTTTTCATGCTGTTGTAGATGTTAAAATAACAAAAGAAAATTGATTCTTATCTAATGACGACGATTCAAACATTGCATAAAATTGCGTTGCAAAGTGTATTTACTTCAGATTTCTCTTGCAGTCAAAGAATTTATGTGTAAAATGTAAAATCACTAGGGCCACAATATTACCAAATACAAAAATGTATTTGTGGTTAAAACATTCTTAATTTCAATTTTATTTTTTCTCCTTTGAAATCCATTTTTTAATTCAAAATTTTTAGAACAGGCTATTTTTATTTCTTAATTTCATTTTTTTCTCCCTCCAGGTGTTATGAATATAAAGTTTATACCTATGTATCCAATGGCAGATCCCAAAACACCAAGTCACTACCTAAACTCAGTGAACAAAGAGAGCAACTGTATGTTTATATCCTCCTTCATCGACATTTATGACAAAATTTTACACTTTGTGTAAAACATAAACTCATAGACAACAGTTATTTGAACATTATTAATCAAATGAGGCTTCACATCGGTGAAGTTGAGCCTAATGTTTAAAATATAAAGCCCAACAGCCTCAGAAAGATAAGAAAATGCTGTAACCCAGACAAATAACTTCAAACATTGCCTCATATTAAAGATAAACATAACTTGATGTAGTCATTGTTTTGAAGCTTTATTGATGCACATTTGATTTTTCCAAATGATTATATGGACAAAGGCATTCTGTGGCACTGTTGTCATAAAGTTGAAGGCAAAGTTGCATGATTAAATCACTCCTTGAAAAATTTAGAGGATCAGAGATTTTCCATTACATGGGGTTTGTCTAAATACTATTCCTGTTATACGCAATTCATTGGCATTAAAAGTTCTGCCTGAAATATTTCATGCTTAAATTTCAGTAAATTACTTCAATTAATTTTTATTTCAGTCAATGAACAATTTCGAAGTTGTAAACAAGGCGAATGTGGATTGTAGATGCCATGTAGAAATAAGAACTTTTAGAATAATTCGCTTCATATGTAATGTGTTTAAGACCCAAAAGGTAAGATGTCCATTTGAAGTGGTTTTGTTTATCACACAAAAGTAATGAGGTTTAACTAATTATAAAAGGTGTTAAATAGCGGGTAAAGATAGGAATCTTCAAAACTTGTTCAAGGGAATAATTTCTTTTCATAACTTGTACACAGCTGCTAATCAATAGACTGACAAATAAATCTATGATTATACAAAAGATTATAACCTGCTAATTTAATTATATCAGTTTTGTTCATTTTAAATCATGCAGGAAATCTCCAAAAATTTGAAAGTAGCAAAATCGCTATTAGTTTTAATTGAAATCCGTGCATCATGACAGTTTAATGAATCAATGTGCCTCTTTCCTTCCCAATTTAACATTATCTTGCATTACGGGCTTTTATTAATAATTTGACGATCAACTCAATTTGCCGCCGAGAATTAGCATAACACCTTGGGTTACAAAAGAAACAGCTGAGGAATTATCTTGTAGACTTACCTTGTTCTGATGGCCTAAAGAATGTCTTATTTCTTAAACCTTTTTTTCGGACGTGGTCTTTAACCTAAAATTTGTATTTTGCACACGAAATAAACAATTTGCTCTGATTTTCCGGTTGTTATTCCGTACTTTGTCAAAACCACATCGCTAGAGAATGATTTCCGCTTATACAAAAGACAAAAATATACTCCAGGTGATCTAGCTTTGTGAAGTCGTTTAATGATTATTGAATAAATCTTTAACACGCGATCGACAGAAATAGAAATTCATGCGACATTACAACGAACTGGAAACACAAATTGGAAATTTCGCAGCACTAATTCACGGCTCACCTGGGATTAAACGACGATACAAAAAGTAATGGATTATCAAATACTCACTTCTTTCCTTTAAGTTTCTTTAGGGACGATATTTATGAGAATTTTTTGACAGTGATGAAAGAAAAACAAAAAGTTACTTTCATTAAAGTGATTCTACAAACCATCTCGATGACAGCACCTGTTGCCACAAGCTTATAATATGTATGCGAGAAATTTGGTTGGAGCACAACATGGCCTCCAACTTTACAAAAGACTTCGCAGTAAATTAAAAGAATGAATTATAATAATAATTGCTGAAAAATTGAAAAGTTTCGTGGAATGTAAATATGTCATCGTAAGGTACTTCTTTACTTACTAAAGAAGGCTAAATCTACGAAAAAAATTCAATTGACTTTTTTCTTCCCATCTAACACCTTTGTATCGATTTTTGCTAGATTTAATGTTTTAGACTGCGTAAAACTCCATTCATTCAGAGGAGGGTTATTCCCCTCCCCCGCTCCTTATAAATTTTGCCGACGTTTTACTTTCTGAAATTAGCCCCCGCACGCTTACTTTTTAATCAACTTCCGTGTTAAAAAATTCCCTATAAGTGTGGCAGAAGAATAATGTAAGAAAACTTGAGACGCTAATAGTGTGTGAATTACATTATGATAGTTCATATGCATTGAACAAAAGCAATGCTAGATAGCATTGAGGCCAATTAAAGGTTGGCGTTTTGAATTGATCGGCTTGCCAAGCTAAAACAGAGCTAAACCCAAATGTGAAAATAGTTTGTACACCACATCACAATCTCGTTCTGTACAAAAACACTTCAATCCGATAATTCTCCAAAGGACAAAAAAACCTCGCGCTTGGTCAACAAGTTATAATGGTTGATTATGATTGATATTTCATGATAAAAATAGATACTCAATGTTTGAAATACTCTCACCAAACTGAGTAAAGTACTAGTTTTAAGGATGTAAACATTTACAGAAATGGCTTAAAAGGAATTTAAGCCTCTGTTTTGAGTTTGAAGACCATCTCACAAATTACCATAACACCTAGCGTATGTAGCAAAAGAAACAGGTAATCTAATTTTCTTAACACATCTTTTCTGATGGCCTCGAGAAAATCTTAACTCATTTCCTATACCTTTTTTTTCGAGACATTGTCCATTACAACATTTGTGTTTTGAGTTACGTAAGTCATTATATATGAAATGGTTATGAAGTACTCACTACTTATCTTTGAGTAGCAGGACAACGTTTACAAGATTTGGTTGACAGTACAGAAAGCAAAAACGTCTTTTCATCAAAGTATCTTATCCAAGCGCGGTCTTGTAACCACTTGGTTCGGCGAATTGAAAAATTTGACATACGTATGCAAAAATTCCTTTAAGAGCACATATGGTAATTGGGTCAAACAAAACAGGATTTAACATTAATAACAATTGATGAAATATTATAAAGTTTTGAAGAATGTAAACATGTCAATGTTGGGTAATGCTTCACGTAATAAAGAAACCAAAAAACACAAAACCATTCAGATGACGTTTATTTGTTTCTTTCTATAAATATGTACACTTTGACGAATTTAATATTGAAACTTTTTAGAAAATATGTTGAAGTTTTGAAAACAAGCATTACACACAATGTTTATGGTGAATGAGATGAAAGAGTTAATCAAACGTGCGTTGTAATTGTTGATGGTGGAATTTTCGATACTAATAAAGTATATGGCTTAAGCCCAGAACAATCATTACATGTTTGTAAATGTAGATTGTCAAAGTTAGTAGAATCCTGAGAAAGACTGTAGATGCTGATTTTGACTGACGTTTTGAAGATAAAGTACAGCTCAGGTTGTCGAAATGTCAGTCAGCCTCAACAGTCCTCAGTATTCTACAAACTTGGACGATCTACATCTACAAATATGTAACACCAAATTATCTCATAAAATCAATTCTTTTTCTTGTAACTTTTTGACGGAAGTTAATTTTTATTTCCCCTTTCAGTCTTCTCTTGCATCTAGTATTCATTTTAAGAAATTTAATGTTGCTTAATTACTAAAAATATTCAATTGACCATAAGGTGTTTGTTCTCACGAATCAATCTCTTCAAATAGCTCTTAGGCAATAGTAGTCTTTCAAACCTATAACATTTTTTCAGGAAATCCGGCAAATCCAAGTTTCGCTACATGTTAAGATCTTGAAAAAATGGTCTTGACTACAAGAAAACCTAAGTCATTAAATATTGCATTAAGTGCATAACCCCTTCCTTGAATAAGCTCACCACGATGATAACAGTTGACACTCAGCACATTCTACAGAAGTGACCACCTGCATATCATCCCACACAAATATAAATTTAATTATTGAATTGTGTAACGTGTACAGATTACTGCACTATGATATTATTCGTGCATTAGCTTCGATTAGAAGCCTCCCATGTATAACACCACAAAAAAGTTTAACAATTTTATACAAGCACAGGGATTATAGGCAAACGTTCACAGTAATTGTGGTTTCATCCAGGTTTAAACTAAGATACATTAAGTGCATGTATTTCAAGTAAAACAAGTTTTAAGAATGTTTACACACTTATAATCACAATTGAGGAAATCAATTTTTATTTCAACACATTTCACTAACTTACTTTACTAAAAATAAATGAGTTTTTTGTGCAGTTTTGCATAAATTTTGTGAATCGGAAAGATTAAAATGTTCATAAAATTTTTGCCCTCATTTATCGGCTTTGCAACTGCCCGCTATCCGACAAATAAATGGCGATCAACGGAACATGAATATCGTTGTGCCTTCCTCCTGTATAATATTTAGAAGATGCAATCATCTCGACATAGTCTCCATTCCCACCTCTAATACTGAGTTTCAAGCCCCCAGTAGATGAAAACTGGGAGGCGACTATTGGTAGTGAAGAATTTTGAGCCGAGGCCTAGCGCCGTCTTGAACAATCCGATAAAAGCTTTGTTGATGCCTTTTTTACTCATTACTGAATAAAGATGGGAATTGTTTGCCTATAAGAAGGGAGCTGCAAGGTCAGAACTTTTATCCAGACAAAACTTTCTTGCTTCAAGGCAGGTCATCAAATCAACACTGAAGTGTAACAGTTTCCATCGACACATTCCCAACCTACAAAAGAGTCATAACTGTTTTTTATTATTATTCTTGTTGAAATAAATTTATATTCTTGTGTAGAGCGTTTGCGCGCGCTTACCATTCACCTGACTCCAGCACAGGCCAGCACAGACAGCAGTATAATTATGTTCACGATGTTCGTCAATTTCAAAAATCTGAATGACATATCATCAAAAATTGAAAGTGATAGATACTTATTACTTGTTTATTCTGTTTATTTCTTTGAGTGCGTATCCTAATTTGTTAAAGCGCATGCATCCTGTATTTTTATGGTATCCTAATTTTTCAGCTTTAGAATCTTTCTGATTGCAGGTTTTAGCTGTTTATTATGTTTCTTTGGGTGTTATGCTCAGTTTATGCTAAAGCGCCTCCTTACGATGTAACGTTAATTCAAAACATGCAAACTACCGAACAGCAGTGACAATTGAAGTGAATCAAAAGAAACATTGCTATGACTGCAATGTTGTGTTTTAGAATATCCTTTCGTGGTGAAATAAAATCAATAAAGCACGTTTGGAGGCAATGCACGAGATCTTTTGTTTACTTATGAGGTTATAAACCTTCGTACATAAGCAGAAATCGACAGTAAAAGCGAAAAACAAAGAAACTCTTTGTTTGAAAAAAAACTCCAAGCCTCGAACATGCCAACCTTAGTGCATGGCTGGAAGTGACTTCAAGCCTGGCCAAGGTTGCGCATAAACCTCTCTGCACGACACTCACCGAAGAAAAATTAAAAATGAAACAAAGTTTGTTCTCCAGAGCCAAAAAGTTGTTAGGCAATATGAGCCCCTATCCTATTCTCGAGTTAACTCAGAACTTTGGCAACAACTGCAAATCCATACTCGTTCCCAAGGTAATACGATGCAAAAGTTGTAGAACTCCCTGTTTAATGGCTAATGCCGTTCATCAGTTGACAAATACTTTCCTCCAACTGTCAGATAGCGTATAAGGCGATATGCCATTGGTTCATGAATTCCCTATGGTTTTGATATGCAAATAAATCGAAGAAAGAGCTGTTGTATCTTATTTCCGATTAACGCTGGATACCCTGATAATATATTATTGGTAGATGTTAATGTATAAAATACATTACTGTTAATGTATAAAATACATTAAAATCTACTTATAAATCTACTGTTTATCACGTAGATATTAATGATGATTATGCAAATATTTATATTTAAGAAAGAATAAACCGCTAATAACAGGAGATTCGGAAACTTTGAAAAGCTGTAGGTGTTCTAAGTTCGTGATGTGACAACGCAAGATACAAGAATAGTAACGAAATTGTTTCACAATAGTTATTTTCGACCGGTTTTTCTTCTTTTTCCACGAAACATTAAAAAAATTCTCCAAAACCTCTTTAATGTTTTTCATTACATAAACAAGACTTAAATATATATTCAATGTTTAAACAATTTAAAATTTTTGGTTCTTGCTGCTCGTTCATCAATCTAAAAATTTGATACACCTGTAAAAACACAGCATGCATTATGTCATAAACATTGAAGCATGACGCTAAACTTATGGGTGTATTTCATACTATAAGATGTTGATGGACGGACACCCAGACACCAACGGCTTCCCAAGCTCCTGGTTGATAGTAAAAAAAAGTTAGTTACTACATTGATCATTTCAAATTGCTAAATTCAAATGAGAGATACATTTTATGTTAACAATGTAACGTTAATATATAGTGCACTAAAGATCTTCTGAAGATCATATGAATTGTACTTAGTTGAAAGGAATAATACATTAAATGTTGTATGTGCACATGCATGCAATCTCACCCAGTCAACGTACTATTTCTTTAAGATTTTGTTCCAAGCTCTGAATTATTTACGAGAAAAACAGTTTTTCCATTGCTCAGTTTTGATTATCCATGGGCTGCAACATTTAAGAACTTTTAAGAAAAGCAATTGGATCCTACGAGCATCACAGAGGTAATCAACCTTCAAATTTTCTTTGTGATCAAAACAGACGACATGTTTTTTCCTTTTTGAAGATTTTGACACTTTCGAATCTATCATTGCTGTCAGAATACAGCAAAACTACAAAAGAAATATCCCATAGTTGAAATTTGAGCATCAGCCATTCGAAGGCTTCCTTCTTATCACCGGGTTTTATACCTCGAACTTCCCAAAGGACCTCTATGATATTTTCCTCAGCTAGGCTACGCCATATTTCGACGCACGGCCTTTGGCCAAGCATAAACATTGCCTGGTAAGGACATAATTCCACCCTGGCATGATGAAGGAAGTATAAAAAAGTGATGTCACAGAAGCAATACCTTTCTATAAATAAGCCAGGATCAATCTAATAAAGAACATGAACACATGCTCAATGAAAGCCTGAAAATCATGCAGCTCAATATGATAGAATAATAATAATAACAATAACAACTTATGTATGTACAGGTTTTTTAGGTCAGAAAAGAAATATTCTGACATCAGTCGAAGACCTGTACCTAACTAACAATAAATATAGATATGAATGTTTTTAATGCAGTGCGGTGTTTGAAATTAAATGAGATATGATCTTCGCACTTAGCTGGACGATTTAAGCAATCGTCTCAGGACCTGAGACGATTGCTTAAATTTTTTCAGGTCCTGAGACGATTGCTTAAATTGTCCAGCTAAGTGCGAAGATCATATCTCATTTAATAAATATAGATACATAAAAGTTACGAAAAATTTAAGTTGAAAAGTTAAAAGATTAAAACGTTAAAAAATACTTGCGACAAGTTGTGTCAGTAATAATTTTTATAATTTTGTGAAAGACAATTGATAGATATAAACGATAGAAGACAGCGCCTACTTTTTGTTCATTTGATTGTAACCTTGGTAATAGTGATCGGCAGATTGCGTTTTATCTACAAACCATTGACTTTAATTCATCCATTTGTACACAGAAAGTTTCAATATGGCGGAAAGAATGACTTCATAGTTTTTGTCACCCAAATAGCAACATACTTTTTGTCAACTTGAATTTGTGATGGATACTAAGCAAAGTTTAGAGCTAGGTTACCATACCTCTAGATGAGAGGCTGTTTCCCCCGCCTCTTCAATATTGGCTTGTTAGGATCTGGTTGTTTCTGGCAAAAACATTAATTTAACTGCATATTTCAGGTCTTTTTTCAAAATTTAAATAGAAATACTATATAAGGAGGGTCTAACATTGTCAGCCATCTCTGATGTCTACAAAACATCAATGCGATATCAGTTTTGTCAAAAGGTCAAAAGGTCATCATTCATAACAGCAATCAACAAATTCCATAATTTACAAAATCATTGTATACCCTTGCTGTTTCTTCAGAACATTGAATTGATATTTGTTTTTGAGAGGCTGTTTTCTCAGTTTCTTTGCCTATTGGCTTGGTTGGATCTGTTTTTTTCTAGGGAGAACATCAAATAAACTGCATATGTCAGGTCTTTTTGTTAAAATTTAGGTAGAAATACCCCAAAATTTACATACCAAGAAGCTGTTTCCCACAGATGACGAGACTTTTAACATTGTCTGGCATGTCTGACGGTGACTACACCAAATCAATACAATATTAGTTTGATTTGTTTGCAAAGGGTAAGAGGAAGATTGAATTGGCTTTTAGCTGAACGAGAAAGCCTTTTTTATTTCACTCCATCCCATTCCATTACATAAAACATTAACTCATATCGACATTTCTTCCTTCCAACAATATACATCTTGCTTGAAAAGAAATTACTACATCATATGCTTCAACCAGCATAGGCGTTTTCTATTTTACTTAAAGTTTATTTCACTTGAAGTTATGTACTGGAAAATCTATACTTTGTTTTGCTTAAAGATGTAGATCGTTTTTTCGTCTATTGTTGTAAGATCTGTGTACTACATTCCGTGTTTGTCATGGACTTAAGACATGTTTTGTGTTTTAATGGTGTGTCTTCAGTAATAATCAGCACGCTTACAACTGCTCATTATCGTCGCTCATCATAAAGAACTTTTTTAAGGTTGGGTTTGCAAAGTCCTGGCCGTCCATGTCGGATGCTACAATGAATTTAAAGTGCATTCATCAACTGCATCCTAGGCATGCCAATGAGCTCTGGTATTGAGCGAAACGGCTTAAGTTCCAAAGTCTTAAGCTAATTTTTCGAAAAACTTCTTTTCAGTGTTGATGCATGCCTCCGCATAAGACATAAAAAGATCTTTGCCATTAATTTTTGCTTCTTCCACATTCAACTTCATTGCAACTAACGCATCTTATGTGAATTTTTTATAACCTGGAATTGAAAAACGTATGAATTTTGTCAGATGCAGTACTATATTTAATGTTTCATGCATGTCATCATAAGCTTTTCTTGAGGAAATATTTCAAGGTAGGAGCATAATTTGGCACATTATTCAGCCAAGAAGTTTTATCTTGATTTTGATGTACTAACCTGTTTACTATATAACATACAATTCATTTACAGAAACACCAGATGGCATTAATGAAACTTTTATCATAAAGCAAACCTTTACAAACCATCGTCATGATTGTCAATAATCTGTCAAATTGTCCAGGCAAGCTGCTTAATACAGGTATCTTTTATTGTACGATATGTACCAAGGAGTTCATTAATTAATCCTGCACTGCATTCGATTTCAATACAGCTCTTTTTTTAGTACTTGCTTTATATTTTCAGAAAATTATCACGAAAAAATCTTCCATTTCTTGAAGGTAAACTCAGTCGAAACAAGGAGTTTTAAGATATGCATATCTCGATAAGAGTTGGTTGCTTTGCCTCGTCTAGCAAGCGATTAAGTAAGGAATAAATAAGACTGGATAAACATAACTTTAATTATAACTTAGGAGTAAAAATGTCAAGGTAAATATTCAAACGCCTATACCTAAAAGTTTGCTTATGAAATGTTTCTCCAATGAAGAAAAGACTAAAGTTTGTTTATGAAATATTTAACCAATGAAGGAACGATAAAAAATCGAAAAAGATGACGACAGACTGATATGGTGACCCCAGCATTGGTTTCAACAATAAAATGTTGGAAAGGCCAAAAACACTCGTCTTTTTCACATACTTCGGAAAAGATTTGAATCTTGAAAATTGGTAAGAAGGTAAAAAAATTCATCCGTGCTCAATCGGCTGTTATTTTTTGTTTCATTGTTGTTGTTAATTAATAGTTTTAATTGTGAGTTTTTAAAGTATTTGTTTACTTTAGTTGCCTATCTTTTGTAATTATTAAACTGATAAGACACGTCACACTTCTTCAAAATTTCTTCAAGCGAATAATTTTTATCATAACTGGTTCCTAGCTTCTAATCAACTGACTGACGAACAACTCTCTATTCCTTATACAAAAGAACAACACCTACTAATTTAATTATAACAGGTTTATTCATTTTAAATCATGCAAGAAATCTTAGAATGATAAAATCTAGCTCAGCCCCATAACTGATTCATTACACTTACGTCTACGCAAATATATTTACCTTATTAATCGATGGTTTTTGTTGAATGTTGAGCCAATTGTTTAGACCTGAGAAAATGGCATCATTAAAAATTCGCTTTTACTAATAATCACTATATCACTTTAGTTAAGTATTTGTACTTTGTTACAGCCGGTGAAACTACCAGTGATTCGCTAATTGCATGAATTTTCGCGGCTGAAAACTCTTTGCCTTTCTTGCGTTTTATTTTGCTTGGATTCCATCAGAATGGTATCCGAATGTTATGACGTAAGCATTCTATATTTGTCAGGGCTCACTGATATGTATATATAACTTTGCATTAAATTAAAGGAATGAATTATAATAATAATTGTTAAAAAATTGAAAAGTTTCGTGGAATGTAAACATGTCATCGTAAGGTAATTCTTTACTTACTAAAAAAGGTTAAATCAACGAAAATCATTAAATGACTTTTTTCTTCCCATTAGACACATTTGTATCGATTTTTGCTAGATTTAGTATTTAAAACTTCGTGAAACTACATTGATTAAAGTTTTGATGAAAAACTAAGAAATAAAAGATGTTTATAATTGTTTGATAAGACTTATGCAAACCGAGGGAGAACTTAAGGGCAGATAAGTACAAGCACGAGACCGAAATACATACACAAAGACTTTAAAGCCAAGTATTTGAAATAAAGCCAATTTTAAAAATGTTTAAACTATTAATCACAATCGAGATGATTGGTGTTTATTTCAATTCAGTTCGCTTTCACTTCAGTTTAAAAAAACGACGTGGCTAAAAATCAACTTTTCTCGCAGCTTTCTGTACGCTAAGCGTAATAAATGTCCATATCACCGTAAATCGTGAAAAAAGGCAGACATTAAAACTCAAAAACTTACGGTGATTCTTCTTTTATTCAACAGCATCATGTGCTGACTATATTTTTATCGAGAAAAAGGTAGCAATGACGTCTAAATTGTGCAACGCATTTAAGAATAACATAAAAATTTACACTAAGACTAAAAATCATATAGTTACCCGCGCAATTTGACGTAACAATATTTAGTTACCAGCTTTCTTGCTGCTCATTATCTGACAAATAAAATGGCGTTTATATAAACATGGCAGATCATTATGTATGCCACCTGCATAAAAACCATAATGATAGGCAATAATCTCGCCACAATCTTCATTGCCATTGTTATTACTAGGTTTGCCGTCCCCCCAGTTGGTGAAAACCGGAAGACGGCCATTGGTAATGTAGAATTTCAAACCGAGGCCTGGAGCCGTCTTGAAGAAACCAATAAAAGCCTTATTTATCCCTTTTTTACTCATTTCTGAATAAAGATAGTCATCGTTTGTCTTTGAGAAGGGAACTGCAAGGTCAGCACCTTTATCTTGACAATACTTTCTTGCATTAAGCCTAGGTGGTTGTGTGATTACTGAAATAGTAACAATTTCCATGTACACACTCCCAACCTATATAAGAATTTTAACTGTTTTAAACATTTCTCAGTTAAACTAGTTTCTTATTCAAAGACAATATTCGTGCTAAACTCTTAGGTGCACTTACCATTCACCTGACTCGAAGTTCTGTCCAACACAAACAGCAGTAGCAGTAATTTCATGTTGCTGTTCATTTTCTCGATGATGTTATTTCTATAAAAATGGAAAATGTAACTTATTACTTGTGTACTCGATATATTTTAAGTGAATCCTATTTCTTTGAGAATATTTTATTGTATCCTATATTTTTAGTGTTTCCCGAGATATATCATTGTGCATCTTATTCATTTAGTTTTTTCTATTCGAATGATGTAGCGTTAAGACGAAACTTGTGAATATTACAACCCGAGTGATACACAAGATAAGGAATCAGACAAAAAGTTTGTTATCAAATCCGGCAGAGACAGAAAAGGGTTATTCCCTCCCCCACCCTTTATAAATTTTGCCGACGTTTTACTTTCTGAAATCAGCCCCCGTACGTTTACTTTTTAACCAACTTCAGTGCTAAGAAATTCCCTATAAAAGTGGCAGAAGAATGATGTAAGAAAACTTGGGACGCTAATAGTGTGTGAGTTACATGATAGTTCATATGAATTGAACAAAAGCAAGGCGAAATAGAATTGAGACCAATTGAAGGTTTGCGTTTTGGATCGATCGACTTGCCAAGCTAAACCCAAAGTGACTGCGGTGTGTGTGTGTGTGATTGGCGACGAATTCAAGTACGTCAAAGTATATAGTTGCAGCTCTTAATAGTAACGCTGAGACAGCGTGTACATTTGGAAGAGTGGCAAGGACACAATGAAAAATGCAGTAGAAATGCTGAGCTTTTAATTTGGAAGTGTGAGAACTTATGTCCCCGAGATAAGCTCTGTCATCCTACTCTTAGGCAAATTTTTTTAATTCGCAATTTTTCGAACAGATGAAATGTTAAAGATCTGTGAGAATAGTTTGTACACATCACAATCTCGTTCTATACAAAAACACTTCGGTCCGATATTTCTCCAAAGGACAAAAAAACCTCGCGCTTTGTCAACAAGTAATAATAGTTGATTATCACTGATATTTTATGATAAAAATAGCTACTCAATGTTTTAAATACTCTTACCAAACTGTGTAAAGTACTAGTTTTAAAGGACGTAAACATTCACAGAAATGGCGTAAAACGAATTTAAACTTCTGTTTTGAATTTGAAGACCATCTCACGAATTACCATAACACTTAGCGTATGTAGCAAAAGAAACAGATAATCTAATTTTCTTAACAGATCTTTTCTGATGGCCTCGAAGAAATTATTTCCTAAACCTTTTTTTGAGACATTGTCCATCACAGCATTTGTGTTTTACGTTACGCAAGTCATTATATATGAAATGGTTATGAAGTACTCACGTCTTACGTTTGAGTAGCAGGACAACGTTTACAAGATTTGATTGACAGTACGGAAAGCAAAAACGTCTTGAGCAAAGTATCTCATCCAAGCGCGCCGTCTTGCAACCACTCCGTTCAACGATTTGACGGATTTGACATACGTATGCAAAAATTTCTTTTAGAACGCATATGGTAATTGGGTCACATGAAACAGCATTTAATATTAATAACAATTGATGAAATATTATAAAGTTTTGAAGAATGTAAACATGTCAATGTTGGGTAATGCTTCACGTAATAAAGAAACCAAAAAACACAAAAACATTCAGATGACGTTTATTTGTTTCTTTCTATAACCAAGTACACTTTCACGAATTTAGTATTGAAATCTTTTTGCAAATATGTTGGAGTTTTGAAAACAAGCCTTCCACACAATGTTTATGGTGCATGAGATGAAAGAGTTAATGAAACGTGCATTGTAATTGTTAGTGGTGGAATTTAATAAAGTATATGGTTTAAGGCCGAGACTATCGTTACATGTTTGTAGATGTAGATCGTCCAGGTTAGTAGAATCGTGAGAAGGACTGTTGATGCTGATTTTGACTGATGTTTCGAAGATAAAGTACCGCACAGGTTGTCGAAACGTCAGTCAACATCAACAATCCTCAGGATTTTACTAACCTGGACGGTCTGCATCTACAAACATGTAACACTAAATCATCTCATAAAATCAATTCTTTCTCCTGTCACTTTTTGACAGAAGTTAATTTTCATTTCCTCCTTCAGTCTTCTCTTGCATCTAGTATTCATTTTGAGGAATTTAATGTGTCTTAGTTACTAAAAATTTACTATTGACCATAAGGTGTTCGTTCTTACAAATCAATCTCTCCCAAAAACTCTTAGACAGTAATAGTCTTCTAAATCTATCACGTTTTTTGAGGAAATCTGGCAAATCCAACTTTCGCTACATGTTAAGATCTGGAAAAATGGTTTTGACTGCAAGATAACTTAAGTCATTATATATGTCATTAAGTTGCACGAAAAAGTATTATTGTTATAAGCCTCGTGCATAAGCCCTTCCTTGTATAATCTAAACCTATTAAAACCGTATTTTAAGCATTTCTAGAAATTGTGTCAGTCAGCATGAGCATTTTATAACTTACATGCATGTCAAATTTCATTTCTTAAACTATTTCCATGTACTGCGCGTCATAAGTTGTCACATGGCTGGGAATAACGTTCCAGCATCCCAGCATTCAGTGCGTGCATTAGCAGCGTCTCCCAACAGTTTTGAGACTCTTGAAAACTGGAAATTTTCGTTGATTTTGGGCGAATGTCACATGCTCGAAATGTTTCTCACACGAAAATGTCAACTGCTTTACTCAAAATTATGCAATTCGATCATCGAGGGACATTTCTCTAAGCTGGCTACAAACGTCCAAGAATCATTTGCAAATCTTGGGAAAATCATTATATGACAGTAGATAGCTTCCCCCTCTAAAACCTAGCAGTGGCTCTTCCGTTCAAAAGTCAGACTCACGTAAGGAAAATAGCCGCGACCAAAACACTCATGAAAACAGGAAGTTTCATAAGATGATATAACTAAAATTGTAAATGAACCCTTCAGTCATCAGTATGTTTGTAAACCATTTACATTAAGTCATCAGTATGTCAAGAAAACAAACAACAAATCCACCCCCCAATTCATCACATTTGAAAGCTTTGGCCATAGTTGTTTATTACATTAAGTGATGAGAAATGAAGGCCTGAAGTAACTGAAAGCCTTGCAAAGGTTGCTGATAAACTTCATCGCATGTAGCTTACTGAAGAAAAATTAATATAGAAACAAGGTTTTCCCCCAAGTTAAAAGGGAAGCCATAGAACCCACCAGAGTAAACTCGGAAAATTGGCAACAACTGCAACCCAAAAGGTGTAGAGTTCCTTACTAAATGGACTAATCAGTTGAGCAAAACTCTCCTCCAGTTGGCAGAAAGCTTCTCTGAGGCGAAAGCAGAGAATTATTTGTAAAACAAGCTCTTGATACTTTATCCTTAATTGCCCAAGCGAATAGAGTCAAAACAGAGACAACGAGAATCAACGGACTAAACCTAAACTCAACAACAAAATTATCACGTGTTTGACTTGTAGTGCAAAGAAATAAAATTCAAAATTTAAAGGAGACGAACCTGTATGCTGATTTTTGATGTGATTTTTGTGAATTCTATCACTTGTGATGCAGAAAAAAGGTGATCACATCCCTCTACTCTCAAAAGTCCACCCTTGACACCTACCATCATTTGGCCAGTATGCTTTAGAATTTGAATGCTGGGTGCTTGCTACGCAATCTCATGTGATTCCATTGTTCTTGCATTTCAAGTCATAGTATTTAAATCAAACATCTACATAAAACTATGCATTCTTTCATTTTTGAATTATAAATGATATAGTTGTTTTGATCATAGGCTAACTTGCAATTAATTGACGAACGTTGCTCTTGGTGAAACAACACGCGATTTGATTGGCATAAAAATATTTTTAGCGGTGGGTTAATTTTTTATAATGAACGGGCGTAATTAAACGTAATTTCACAAAAAATTAAATAAATTTCCTGAAGCCAACAGAAAAAGATTTGTACAACGCAAAATTATAAAAAAACTATGTTCGTGTGTGCGACTAGGAGAAGGAACACTCGTCAAGTGAGTTAGAAAAGGTTTTATTTCTTAATTTTGTTCCATCCAGATAACAAAATTTCAAATGATTTATTTTCCAAAGACGAAAACCAGAGAAGAAGTATAATTAGAATTTGAGGTACTAAAGACTTAAATGTTTCTTAAACAATAATGTAATTCAGCCTTTGAGCTGCGAAGTAATGTTAATAAAATGATTAAAAACTATCAATGTCATATATTAGTAACGATCGGTTAAATCGGTCCGTCTGCTTGTAAATAAACACGCACAGTGTTTATGCAAGCTTTTGACCCTTATCTATCAAGGAAGACTGAGACAATTTACAGCACATAGATGAAAAATAAAATTAAGATATGAGTTAAAAAACAACGAATACCATTCCTATGACAAGGCTAGAAATCATCTATATAATGAAGGAATAAAACCAAAGGAAATTAAAACAACAAAATCGTATTATTATACTCATGAAATTGCAGCATTACGTCAGAGAAACACAAGTAAAAGGTGGAAACAAATTAAAAACCTAATGGGTCAGAATTATGCAACAGGAGCGGTACTATCAATTCTTGAGAGACAATGGAGATATAAAGGTATTAGCACTGCACATACAGTTAACGGTCATTTCTTGGTTATAACAGAAAACTTCACAAACACATTACCTTCTGGCACAAATCAACAAGTGCAAAACGAGTTACTTGTTTTTTAAGAAGAGGATTATTAGTCGCTTTTGGTTTATAGGTCGGTTTGTAAATCATATTGCAGATTGATCTCGTATGTAATCAAGTATGTAATAGGTATTTATGTAAAATTAATTATTCTTGAACTTTTCTATTCAGTGGTTAGTACTGCAAAAGAGTTTTCAATAAACAAAAATTATTAAGTTGGCTCCTTTGTTTACGGCATTTAACCCTTTGCGTGAGGTATCTGTCCCACATCACTATACTTGTTTCAAAGAATCACACTTTTCTTGCCTTATTCTTTTTACATATTTCTGACACACTTTTGCAAAATTTCTAGATTATTTTTATTGTGAATGTTCCCATCTCCACACCAAGGTCAAGAATTTTTTGACTTTCTGAGAATGTTAAACCAGCTAGGCTAAGCCGAAACCTAGACAACAGACATGTAAGTACAGCTACGTGCACATTGCACAAGTGAGTAAGAAAACCATTTAGTTTTCCTAACTAGGTGGCTCTCCTTCGATGAAATTTCTGTTCAAATTACATAGATTTTTGAGGTTAATTTAAAAAATCTTTACGTTCTTGCTGAGGCCTAGCTGAATGTGAATACGACATAATATTCAAAAATGGGATAAATTTTGACAAATCTAATTGCACTTTACTCCTAAACCGCGAAAGGTTGAATGCTAAAACGATTGAAGTCAAAGAAGAAGTTTCCAAACATTCCGTGCATGTTAATAAAGTTAAACTAAATTGCTCAGCAAAAGCAAATATATAATAGCACAAGACACACTTCATGAGTAAGTACAAGTGTGCATAAATAAATTATAGGGAGAACACGTGCATGATTTAAAGTTGAACTATATATGTGTGCATGTGCATGTGCGTGTGTTAACTACAGTTCATACATTTCCTACTAGTAAAATGATCCTCGACATTTTCCAAGCTATATATTAGGTTTGACGTTGTGGTAGCTGTGACGCTTGCACCATTGTCTGGTCCTGGAAAAAAAACTACACAGTTACCATTATCAAAGATGGTTGAGTGGTTCATTATTAAGACGTACACGACCAACCCTTGTAAGTGGTGAATCTTGAAAATAAAAAACGGAAGGTGGAGGTGGAGGTTGAGGTGTATATCCATGTAATTGCCATGGGACTAAAAAAACGTTATAAATAAATGAATATGTTATAAATAAGATGTTATAAATAAATGAATATGTGCACTTTATACATTTTTCAATGAGCATACTGTTGATATTTGAGTGATTCATTACAATCAGAAATCAGGAATACATAGAATAGAAATGTAATTGATAGAAAAAATAGTCATGGCTTCCCGTATAACATAACATGTGCTAAGATAACTTAAATACTTCATGCAATAATATTATAGTGTAACATTACATCATCAATAATACTTCATATTGCTAACACTCCCACTTAATGTGCACTATAAATGTTCTTTAAGAATTACGAATTCTTAAACTAAAATTTCTTTGACACCTAACATGTCTCGAAAGTTTTGGAATGTTTGCTTTGGTAAACTTTTCGTCATAACATCCGCTAACATCTGATCTGTACTACAGTATTGAACAATAATGGAATTATCGTTGACCTTTTCTCTAACAAAATGATACGCAACGTCAATATGTTTAGTGCGATTGTGAAATCGTGGATTCCTCGAAAGTTCAATTGCCCTTGGTTATCTTCGTTCAGTGTAGATGGTTGATCTTGATTTATTCCAATATCCGCTAGTAAACGTCGTAACCATATGATTTCCTGTGTTGCATAACTTAGTGCAACATACTCAGCTTCAGTCGAAGATCTTGCAACACAAGATTGTCGCTTGCTGCTCCAGCTGACGGTTGATTTGTTTATCTGGAACACGTATCCTGATGTAGATCTTCTTGTATTTACATCACTTGCCCAATCAGCATCTGAATATCCAACCACTTCGCATGTTGAATCTTTGCTTTGAAAAACAAGACCATAATTGATTGTGCCTTTTAGGTATCTCAACACTCTTTTTGCTCCCTGCCAATGCTCCTTTCCTGGCTTTGACATAAATTTTGAAAGAATACCTACAGCAGATGCCAAGTCAGGTCGAGTTGCCGTTGTCACGTATGTCAAACATCCGATAAGTTTTTGATATTCATGAATATTTGTTGCGGTCTCTTCTTCGGGCAGATTCTGAAAATGTTTTCCAGGTTCTAACGGTGTCGAAACAGGTTTGCAATGTTCCATGTTGAATCGTTTCAAGATTCCTTCCAAATATTTTGATTGACTAATTGTCAATTTTCCCCTTTTTCTGTCTCGTTTGATCAGCATACCAAGGACATGTTTGACTTCATTTAAATCTTCAACTTTCAACTTTGATGCAATGGCTTTCTTCTCCACCTTCAGCATTTTCGTAGAATTGGAAAATAGGAGAATATCATCTACATGAATAGATAGTATCACGAAATTCACATTTCCATCTTGCTGTTTAATAGATTTCATGTACAGACATGGATCACAGCTCATTTGATTGTATCCTTTTGACTTCAGGTATGAGTCGATGGCGCTGTTCCAACATCTGGCTGACTGTTTTAAACCATAGATGCTTTTTCTCAATTTGCAGACATAGTCAGGATGCTTCTTACTAATATAACCTTCAGGTTGTTGCATATAAATTTCTTCATCCAAATTTCCTTGTAAAAACGCTGTTTTAACGTCCATTTGGTGAATTTCCCAGTCTTTTGCATTCGCTAAAGCTAACAACGATCGAACAGTTGTATTTCGTATGACAGGTGAAAATACTTCATGATAGTCGACACCTTCAGCTTGTGAATAGCCTTGTGCAACTACGCGAGCTTTATATCTCTGTATTTCTCCATTTTCGTCTCTCTTCACCTTGAAAACCCATCGGCTTCCAACAATATTCCTATTATCTGGTAATGGGACAAGTTCCCAAGTATCGTTCTCGATAAGTGAATGAAATTCGGAGTCGGTTGCCTTTCTCCAGTCATGTCCATGTACTCCAGAATATGCTTCGTTGATGTTTGCTGGTTCGTTGATTTCCGCAGTTAAATCATTGGCGATGTAGCATTCTTCATCAAACCTTCGGGGAGGTCTTCTTTGTCTCCTTTCACCAATGTTTTGTACTTCATTCATAAATCTCTCCTCGTGCGTTACTCCCACTGGCTCGTTATCGTTGATTTCTGCATCCATGTTGACGTTTTCGATAATTGGATTCAAATCAAAATCTTTACCTGCTTGCGTTGGAGTTTCTTTGATAATCACCGGAACATTTTGCTCTTTCTTTTGATCAAATGCAGTCAATGGTCTTTTGTCTTCACCAAAGTCATGGAATTGTGTTTCCACAAACATTGCATCACGGCTACGGATGAATTTCAATCCAATAGGGTCATAAAACTTGTACCCTTTGTTCCGTCAGGGTATCCCACAAAAGTAATTTCCGGGATTTTGGGTCTAACTTCTTACGCTGGTTCTCTGGAATATGTACATAGCTCACACAACCAAATACTCGTAGATTAGCTACATCCGGTTTTCTTCCATATAGACATTCGTATGGAGTCATATCCTTTACTGATGTTGTAGGACTTCGATTACGTAAATAGACGGACGTATTTACAGCCTCAGCCCAAAATTCATTTGGCAAATGTGAATGAGACAGCATAGAACGAGCAGATTCAACAATGGTACGGTTCATTCTTTCTGCAATGCCGTTTTGCGCCGGATTATGAGGTACACTTAACTGATGGATGATACCATTTTTCTTCAGGAAATCTTTAAATTGCTGTGAGCAATATTCCCCACCGTTATCAGATCGTAGGGTCTTGATAGGTTTGCCAGTAATGTTGCGAACATGACTATGAAATTCCTTGAATTTCTCTAAAACTTCGCTTTTCTTCTTTATGAAGTAGATGTACGTATACCTTGAATAGTCGTCGATGAATGTGATGTAGTAGCGCGATCCACCAAAAGAGTTTACAGACATGGGACACACACATCACTGTGTACAAGCTCAAACGGTTGGTTGGCACGGTAATGGTCATCTTTCGGATAAGAACACCGATGTTGTTTCCCCATCATACATCCCTCGCAGAATGAGATATTTTCATTTACATCACTCATTCCTTTAACCAAATCTCCATTTAACAATTTACGAACATTGTTCATTCCCAAGTGCCCAAATCTGCAGTGCCATAAATGCAAGCTTGAATTTGATGCGTCCTTTGCAATGTTCACATGTTCATGTCCAATCCTTAATTTGTACAATTTTCCATGTATGTCCCCAACAGCTAGAAGTTTGGAATTACGAGATATCTTACACTTGTTACCTTCAAACATAACAGTAGCTCCAAGTTTTATCATGGCATAGACTGATAGTAGATTCTTGTCCAATTCTGGTAAGTACAATACGTTGCGTAATGATATGTTCTGAACGTGATCATCAAGTATTGCTTTCAAATGATAGGTACCTTTTCCATATGCCAAGATTGATCTATTATCACCTAGATTCACCACCGAGGGTTGCTTGAATGTCACATAATCCGTCAGTGCTTCTCTTTCATATGACATATGCTGGGTAGCACCAGAATCTATGATCCAATCTGATCTTCCAATAAGTTCAGATCCATTGCTTATCAAGGCTTCATCCTCATGCACTTTGTCATCTTGTCCTTCGGCACAGTGCGCTTGAGTGTTTCTGTTTGCACCATTCATAGTTTTCTTGTTTGGACAGTCACGAGCATAGTGTCCTTTCTCTTGACAATTGTGACATTTTCCTTGAAAAGGCTTTCTGTTGCTTCCATCGTTCTTCCCTTGTTTATTATTTTTATCACCACGATTCCTACCACGAATAAAATTTCCTCTATGAGCAGAATATGCATCTTCCTTAGTATTCTTCAAATCATTAGTACGGTCCACATCATTCAGAATTAAGTTCTTTACTTTTTCAAAAGAGATCTCTGTTTCTCCCATGGCATCTAAGGCTGTTATTAATGGTTAGTATTGCTCAGGTAAGCTAGCTAACAGCGTCATAGCCAATTCTTTGTCATCCACGCTGACTCCCATTTCCTTGAGTTGCTCATGCAGCGATTTGAGATGGCTGATGTGTTCAAGCACACTATCTCCAATATGGTATTTACAGGAATAATACTGTTGGCGTAGTCTCACCTTCTGAAGAAGTGATTCTCGTGCGAATTGATTTCTAATTGCATCCCATGCCTCCTTGGCAGTTTTCGTATCTCGCACGTGGATCTGTTGCTCGGGCTCGATGGCCAAACAGATGTACGTCCACGCTTTCTTCGCAGCCGAGTTAAACTTCCTTCGCGTTTCAGCACTAGCATCCTCATTTGGAAATTCAGCTGTTCCTCCGCATGCTCGAAAAGATCCAGACTTTCCAAATACAGCTTCATGTTGAAAACCCATGAGCGGTAATTACTGCCGTTCAGTTTCGCGAACCTTAACGCATTCGACATATCCGACGTGGCCATGCTTAAATTTCGACTATATATTTTATTGCAATGACTTTTCACTCAAATAATGACCTTCTACGTCCTGGGCCCATAACCTGTTGATATTTGAGTGATTCATTACAATCAGAAATCAGGAATACATAGAATAGAAATGTAATTGATAGAAAAAATAGTCATGGCTTCCCGTATAACATAACATGTGCTAAGATAACTTAAATACTTCATGCAATAATATTATAGTGTAACATTACATGATCAATAATACTTCATATTGCTAACACATACTTGGTTGTCCTTGCCATCTTGAAGATGGAGTGATTTGAGCAGTCGAAGGTGGTTGGTCAGAGTTCAGTAGTCCAGGAAGAGGAGATAGAAGATTGGATTGTCCTCGAGGGGCTAAATTTAAGTAAAGGAGGTAGACAATGTATATCTGAAACAAGTTAACTATATATAATACATATTACCTTGATTATTACCAAGCTTACCATGCATTCCAAATTGTTGAGGGTCATCAAACAACATTTGGTTACAAGGAGGTTTGCTCGATGAATAAGAACCACGTGGTATGGCTGAATTCCTCTTGAAAAAGTTTTCCACTGGCTATATATGAAAATTGCATTATATTTAACGAGAATTATTCAAATATGATTCACGAGTTATCTTATACTTCATGTCCTGTGTTAGGACTCTTTGCTCATGGGCGCATGTGTAATGATTCTACTCTTAATGTTTCCTGAACATTGTGTGCGCAAGGGTCTGGAAACAGGTTGTAGTGGTGGACATACAACTTCCAAAGTTCCCTGATATTTACGCATGGTGACATTCTGCTGACTAAAGTTGTGTTGAGGTGTTCTTCAATAGTTAGAGTATCATAGAAATGCTAATCACACTTCATCACTCAAATAATTTGAAAATGTTAGCCGAAAGTGCTCCGTATTTGTCTATTCTTTAGATCAACAGTTTCATCTGAGTTGCGTCAAATGTTTCTAAATTTTGAACTTTTAAGAATGTATTAGAAAACATACAGTTTTTAACGTACACAGATAGACTGCTCTTCACCCAACTCTTTATTAATCAAACCTTAATTTCAACATACCAAAGCGGTGTTTCCCCCAAATGACTCTTGAGCAGAGGATTCACTATACTCGCTCATTTCCGATGGTGTCTACAAAATAAATTATTGAATCTTCAGTGTTATCTAAGGTCGAGCTACACAATTTAAAATTTTTGTACCTTTCGCCTTGTTTCTTCTTCACTTGTTTCTTTCAGATTTTTATCACCAATTATATTTTTGTCATAAACGTCAGTATGTTCTTTTATGCAAAATAGCGAAGAGCAATCGGACCATTTTTCAGCGATGACAAATGTACCATCTTCTTTGGCCAAAACAACGACCTGCATCTCACGAACATTTTCAAACTGTATCAAGTCATCTCTTCCGGTAGTCGCGTCGTAAATTTTCACGTCACCATTTTTATCCCTGATAAGATTTTAACCATGACAGATTTCGTCAGTGTGATAAAGTAAAATGGCTACTTTGCGCCCAGAAAGTTTAAAAGCTTTTTCTGCATTTTCAAGCGAAATTTGTTCATTCATTTCCGGTTTTGGGTATATTACATCTAAACAGTTTTCCTTTTCTAGCAAAGAAAGCACTTTAGTACATGACTATAAAACAACTTCTTTTTTCAACACATCTGCCAATTCACTTCTTACTTTAGAGACCAAATCTCCAGTCTGCCTCCATTTATAGTTCAATTTTTTCCATGTTATCTCCACCAATCGCATGTCGAACAAATAATTAATAATTTTCTGGGACACCCTTGCCGGGCATAAACCTGTATTTTCATACTTTAGCGCCAAGTGTACCGCATTCATTCCGCATGATGAGTACTTGCACGTAAGTACTTTTTCAGGATCTACGCCTAAAACCTATAAAAATATTTACTGTATTTTAGGTATAACACAACTGAATTAACGGCGAGATGTTCCATTTTATAACGCAAATATTTTGAAGTTCAGCTATATAACGGTAATTTAAAAATTGACGAGGAGAAAAAAATTTTGAACAACACGCCTTGAATGCATCTTACCAATTCAACGGCACCGATACTTGGGTAAGGTTTACAAATGCAAAAGGAACTTCTGCATGGGTAACGTTGTCCTAATCAAATTTCAGATAAATTATCAAGCAGGAATACTTGGTTGTTTTGATTAAAGTCACAGCTCATCAGCATGCTAAGAAGCACGAATAATTTAATTTTAAACAGGATAGCCATTAGAATTTATGCCATCTGGTTTAGGCCGTAGAGACTAACCTCCGTACCTCTACTCTAGGAGTTCAGTTAGAAATAATTGAACATTTGGCATATGTTATGAATGTGAAATAGCTTAGGTTTTGCGACATCTCAGTCTGCTCTATTCATTTCATTTTCCCCACCCCACCTCCCTTGATGTTAGCAACTTGAAAAGGGGGAAAAAAAGGTCGTCGCTAAAATTTAAACTGAAGGAGGTGGGTTTGTGTATTCGTATATTAAGGTCTGTGCTGCGATACAGTCCTGAAATGAAAAGACTTTTAACATCAGTCAGCCTGATGGCAAAAAACTCACGTTTTCATGTCAGTTAACACATAAAGTCACTAAAACTATTCGCTACTTCCGTGCGTGTCGAATTTTTCCCCTAGAGTATACCTTTGGTGAAAGTACAATATTTTTGCAAAGAGAGCAACACAAATAACAAATGCCAACAAAGCACTGGTTCTCAAATCATCTAAAACTATTATTTCGATTGCATAAAAGATACTATTAAAAAAATTATAGTCTTTTCAGATCGTCTATAAATCCCTAGTGTGGGTTGCGCCACCGGCGTGACATGGGCAGGAGTTAGTATTTTTTCTGGCTACGTCACTGACTACGAGTTAAATGTAGTAAGCCTTATGGTAGTTTGATTTTGCCAACCATTTTCATTGCTGCTATTAAGTATCGCTGTCTGCGCGTAATCAGGGTTTACTACCTTTATGATCAGGGTTTATATCGAAGCACAAATGTATTGCAACGCACAAATTAAATGATAAATACAAAGATTAAGACGAGTGTTCATTGCTGTTGAGTTTTTTCCTCCTCCCCGGTGAAAGTTTAATTCCGAAAAAGAAACCCAAGTGGTTAGATATATTGCAGTGATGTTTTGAATCCTAAGAAAGTTGCTTTTATGATGAAGAGAGCGAGATCACAAATAGTCATGTAATTATCACTTAGTGTACGTCCAACTCCATGAACTGAAAACGTAAAAACTCCATCAAATACTAAGAAAATCCTTTAGTCTTTGCAGGGCGGATCCAGGATTTTAATTCTTTAGTGGAAGGGCGTGGTCGAACAAAATTTTAATAAACGTGGCGCACTAGCTAAAAATCTGCTAACGCAACATTGCCACATGACGAAATTATGGCGACTGTTTCAACCTCATATCTGAAGCCAATCAGCATGCCTAGGAAATGGCACCCTCACCACGTGAAAATGCAATTCGACATGGACAGCCTCAACGTAATGAGAAGCCTTTAAACAAAAAGAGAGCAGTCTGGTTTTAAGGCGCCAGATACTGCCTTTCACACCTTTGCAACAAAGCAACAGGAGTTTGATTAGAAAAGCGACAACGTGGGACATTTCAAAGATGTAAAATTGTTCAGTTTTCTACATAATCCCTGTCATTCTAATCTTTTAACCTCGCCCCAAGAATATGCACACACATAATCTGAATCTAATGGTTATTTTTGCCGAGCTAAACAGAAAAGTAAACACAAACCACCGCTAAAGAAAACGTCGAAACGCTGACCTAAACATTCAATTTCCATAAATTTTGACGATACTTCAAGCTCAAACTGATTTCTTTTATAAAAGGTATTGTTTAGGAAAAGATATGCTATTGACTGGTGACACAGTTAACTTAAATTCCTTTGAGAGCGTGACTCCAAATGTCAGTAACCCTGTTAATGATGAAGTTAAATATTTGGTCTTTCATAAGGTCAATTGTTCATTCACAAGTATCACAATTAGACAAAGTTGTTGTTATTCCCAGATCAAAACGCATATGCATTAATTAAGACCTTACAAAGGTGAATATTTCTTGTATGTTAGGCAACTTCATCAAACGCGCATCATATATATATTTTAAGATGTAGATCGCCTGTTAGTATAGTCCTTAGAAGGACTGTTGGTGTTGATGTTGACTGACGTTTCGACAACCTTAGTGGCGGTCATTTTAAAAGTCTAGTGACAGAAGATGTTGTATATTTGTACCATTTTCACAGAGATAAAGCAATTGTGCTGTGTATCACATAAATTGACGTTTTCAATGTTCCTTTAAAAAGTGCTACGAGAAAGAGATGAAATACTACATCCAATATTCCTAATTCAAACTTGAATAGACATATTAAAATGATGCAACATCATACAAATAATTTCAAAATTTCACGCAGGCTCAGAGGATTACCCATAATGAAATTATTTAATATACAAAATTAGTACAAGGACACGTTTGTCACTAAGATTTATGAGATATCATGACTATATAAAAATTAGAAGCTCTTTCTTTCCTTCTCGTCAAAACTATAATGACCAAGCCTAAAAGAGTCAAATTTTTACAGTAAGAAAGTTCTTTAATTTGACTAAAACATTTCTGACAAAGGGGACAGAACATGAATTACCAACACCACCTTTTGAGTAAGAACCAACCTCCTGATGATATGAAGAATCATCACGGTGCCTCTAATGCTAACCCAAGTCTACCACAAAGTTTAATAGTATCAATTATTGATACAAGTTTTCCCTATTTTGCCTGATGACTTGCTGTTTGTGCTCATCAATCAACACCTCAATCTGCAGTCCTTCTCCTGATGCCTGACCAACTAATGACAAATATTTCTTACGTGTGCTTTCGTGCAAACCTGCTCTGGTGAGAGCCTTAGAACTCAAACCAATATGGCGTTTGAAGCAAGCTTTAGCATCAGGCCAATATGTCATTGGTTCACTAAAAAGTTTTTTAATTTTTGTATTTTTATTCGGAAGCTGATCACCAAACAAAACACAAGGCAGACAAAAGCACCATCCAAAGAGGGGAGTAACACAACCAAGAACAATCTTCCAGCCACGAATAAAGAAAAGATCGACCATCAGCTGATTTAGGAAATGGGTAGGATCTATTGGTTTAAAACATTGTGAATGAGCTGCAGCTTTTGAGAATCATTCATATTTCTAGCTTTTCTCTAAAATATCTCACATCATTTGGATATTGCTGTGAAAATCTAATGAAAATGATTGCAAAAGTTCTTGTTTTGGGTTATGTATTAAACCAAGACTAGTGATGGCAGGCACCTTTTGTGTTGATTGTGTTTGTGTAGTACTAAATAATTTGGGCAAAATAAATTGTTTAGCCTTATTACTTGCTGGGGTTGAAACTGGTTGAAAAAAATTAGAAATGTTAACAGTAGAAGACTCTCCTTTCAACTTTGCCTGAACATGAGGAATTTTCTTGTTAGCTTTTTCTAACAAAGCAGAAGCCTTTCTTTAGTTTTACTGATAGGTTTGAAAATAAGAGGTGCAAAGTGATTTGGCTTAAAGACTTTACTAGAAGTCAATAGAGTTGTAGAACAAAACAAGAGGTATAAATAGTTATATTGAGTAGGTGGTGTTGGTAAAGGAAGGCGAGGTGAAATAATTTGGTTGAATAACAACTTAAAGAAACTTCTCCACAATCAGGATACATCAAAGAAATGATTCTATTAGTAACTGAGGAGAGAGCAAGTATACACAAAAACTACCCCAAATTTTATCTCTACAGTTGCAAAGAGCTTCCATTTTAACAAGATCAAGCCCTATAAACGTGAATCCACACTTTCAAAACAACAGGACATAGCCAAAACATTTTTGCACTAACAGAGACCTTGTCACCATGCTTCTCTAAGGTGGAAGTGAATATTGGATGATAACAATAATAATTTGCATATATAAAAGCTCTATAGATACCATAGCTCTCAAAGTGTGAATGAGAGCATTGCTAACCAAGGCCAGAGAAGCAGAGCTGTATAGACAATTTCCAGATGGTTCAGATCTAATAAAACAGCAGTCGAAAGATTTCTTGATTATTAAGACTGCAACAATTTATGCAATGTCAACAAAGCGAGTTAAAAGCGATCATTTCAACAACAATGAAATGACAACAAATCGGCAGTTTTGGTCTTAACGTGTCATAACAACTACGCAATTAGGCATATTCATTTCTACTTATCTTAATTTAACTAATTTTACCTTAGAGCAACCGATGGCTTCGTATTGTCGGCCTTCACATGATGAGGCAAATAGCCTGTCTCAGCATTTACATAACGATACAAAGATCGTCCAATTAAAGGAAAATGCTCTTCAGGCATTAAGAAACGAGAAGAATTATATATATCACATAATTCCTCAAAGGTCTTAAGCAAAGCAACATCATCACTTTTTTTTAAGTCAGAGAGAACCCGATCTAAAATACTGCTAGAGTTAGCCATGACGATCGATAAATATTCAAGCGCAATGAAGCAGACAAATATATTCCGACTAAGTTCGCTACAACAACCAATCAAATCTGAAGATTCGGCAACATCATATACCAAAAATAGATATATCCTGCAAAAAACTAACAATGTTGACCAATCACAAGCTTTAAATTGGTATAGATCCTGCAAGAAATCTCCACCAATTACAGCTATATAGCTGGTTCGTCTGGGCAAATCAGAATCACAGAATGAACATAGATCCTGCAGATCCTGCACGATACGCTAACCAATGAATGCTCGCAAATTGATCAATTTAAACCAATCAAAATCGGTATATGGACCCAAATCCTGCGGAAATTTTAAAGCACTCAAGTGTTATAATTTAAGGAATACCCACGGAATTTTTTGAAAGTGACACGTTAATACGTTAGTCGCCCGACTTAGTTGACTAAGTTTAAATCCGCCTCTGCCTTGCAACTACAGCGTCCTGGTAGTTTTGACATAATCAAAGTCCATAACCGTTGTAAAAACGACATAATGCTCTGAAATGAAAAAAAGCAACACTTAACCTAGAACTATACCATGACAAGTGACAGAGTAAAATTGCTAAGAATGTCTTGTGAAAGGATATTTCAAAAACACCTTATTTACCTTTGAGAAACTTCTCACATAATCCAGGAGTAATGGAAAAAAGCGATTGCTTATCAAATGACAATTATTGACATTACCAGTCGACCACAGATCATTCTTTTTGGATTCATTTTTTGGAATGTGGTCTTCGTGACAAATTTGCAAGTTCATGTATTGAAACAACAGTCTCACTATCCGCATAATCTTTGCCTGCATTCAAATCATCGACCTTAAAAGATTTAAAAATTGATCTTCCAGAAAACACTAACTCAATTTACAGTAAAACAAGCATGAAAAAATAAAATGAAACTGAGCTACAATACTTGGTTGTCTGCTCCTTCATTAAGTGTGTTTGGAATATGATTCCAGGACTGAAAAAATAAAATATTGTAAACAAATTGCTGTCACGACATCGACATTTTAATAACTTAAGTTGGGTTGAGGTGTGTTTGATAGTTTGATAGTAATATTATGATTTTGCATTGTTGTAGACCACACAATCATTTGAAAATGCAACAAGAAATCACTCCGTCATTTTCTGACCGCCAACAACTTCTCATCAATTGTATCATTCCCCTGCTTTGGACTTCAAAGAACATAATTGAGGTATTACAATTTTCTATACCTGAGAGATTGTGCTTCCTTCACTATCAACAGCCACTGGTTTTATCCTTTCGGTCAACTGCTAGCAAAACATAAAATTGACTTCAGTTTAGTCAGGTGGTCGTTGTTTAATAAAATAAGAAAACACACAAAATATACATACCAAATACTTGTTTGTCATATTTGTCGCACAAACTGAGTGCTCACAACATTCAGACATTTCTAACGGTGTCTATAAAATCACGGAATCTTCAGTTTTATAAAAGGTTTTATTGTTTTGCACAAAAAGACAAGCGTCATACCTTTGCAGGTCTTGCTTCTTCTCCATTTGTGTCTCTATTCTTTTTAACACGCATCATATTACTTGCATGACTGTCATCAAGTTCTTTTTGCATAAATCAAGGAGCAGTCTGCCCATTTTCAACGATGACAGCTTTACCGGCTTTTTAGCCAAAACAACGACCTGCATCTCACGAATATTTTCATACTGTACAAGCTCATCTCCACCGTTTGTTGCGTCGTGAATTTTCACGTTACCATTTTCATCCCTTATTAGATTCGCACAATAAGTCTTTTCATCAATGCGATAAAGTAAAATTCCTGCTTCACAACTACAACTTTCAAAAGCAATTTTCGCATACTTCAACGAAAGCCGTCCATCCAAACTTGTTTTATTGAATATTGTATCTAAAAGTTTCTCTTTTTTTAATACAGAAAGTTCTTCACCACATTGCAGCAAATTATTAGGTTTTTGCAATTCATCCTCGGTATCAGTCATTACTTCAGAGATCAATTCCTCCATTATTTTCTTTCCCAACGCTAGTTTTGCCAATGCTATGGCCAATTTTAATAACACTGCCTCCTCCAGTTTTGTAATATAGTAATACAACCCGATTTTTTGCATCACTTTTGCTGGACACAGATTGCAATTTTCAAGTTTCAACATCAGGAGTAGAGCATCTTTTACACTTGGCAAGTGATTACACGTCAGCAATTTGTGAGGATCTACTACGTAGGCAACCTAAAAAATGATGTATGGTACACTTGTGGTCAAAAACAACTGCTCAGGTTTGTCATTATAGAGCTATAATTGCATGAGTATGTAAAGACAATAAATGAAACCGATAAATCAAATGAAATATGTTTAACTTTTGTAACTTTTCGTACATGGCAGGCCTTTTAATCCTCCTTCCTCCCCTTATGTTTTTAGGCAAGAATTTTTCCAAGCATGGTGGATACTGTTCCACAATTCATTCTCGAGATTTTTGTTTCGAGTCAAAGTTTCAACATGTCACTAAAAAATTGTTGGCTTATTACGTAAACCCATTAATCCGTAACTTGCCTAGTTTCTTCTTATCAACGAAATAACTGTTCGCTCAGTAATTGTTATTGTATTGGGTAAGCAATAAAAATTTGAGCAGTTGTTTTTGACGTCTAAAATTCTTGAACACTCAAAATTTTTAGATAATCCTTTATATACATTGGATATTTTTACCATCTAATTTACTCAAGGAAAAAATCATCAAATTTGAATTTTGAGTAGCTTTCACTTGGCTAAGTTTTAAAACATTGCATAAACTTTCCTTTTCCTACAAAATGATACATCTACTGAAGTTAGCATCTGAGCATCAAAGAGATCCTCGCACACAATACCAAAACAACAAGAATGAATTCACGTGATTATGCTAGCCAATACCATTTCTTCAAACTTATAGATCATGTACGAGTAATATTTGCAAAATCATGACTTTTAAATTGTTCAAGTGCTGGTGCAAAGAAAACAAGCTGCTTGACAGTTTAATTTGGGAATTTTTATTTTATTATATAAAACAAATAGGTAGCATTTAACCATTTAACTTTATCAGTTCTTATCACAAATGACGTCATACCAGTGCATCTATAACTGTAGAAACTACGGCTAAATATTATCTATTTGTTAAATAGCTAATGATGTTGAATGTCATTTAATTGATTATACTGATGCTACTGAGTATCCGATTAAGTGCACTTTAATGCAATAGAATTTCATCATGTCGGTTCAACCAAAACCTTTACCTGTTTAACAGAACACCACGGTAGTTTTGACTCAATCAAAAGTATGGCGCTGATAAAATGATACAATAAACCAGAAGATTTTCTGAAATGAAAAAATTAAGTCAGAAATATATTACGAGCAGACTGCTAAAATGTCATATAAAAGATGTTTTAAATTATGCTATTACCGTAATGAAAATCTTTACATAATTTAGGGAAGATAGCAAACCGTAATTGCTGCTCAAACGATTCGAATGACAATCATTGACAGTACTACTACCATTGTCTTCATCTTGTATTAAAACAGCAGTCTCACCACTCAACACATCGAACTACAGGTAAAATGATTATTGTAGAAAATACTAACTCAAGTTTCCGTAAAACCTACATAAAATAAAAATGAAAACGAAATACAATGCTTGATTCACATTTGCTGTTCGTTGGTTCTTGTGTGTTTGGGATATCATCAAATTTCCAGGACTGAAAAAGCAATTATTTTAAGTTCCAAACACAATGATGTTACGGCATAAAGTTGTGTTGAGGTGTTGTCCAATATTTAGTATTATAAATTGCATATTGATTGATGGGCTCGACTAGAACCCATAAAATTATCTAAAAATGAAATAAAAGTGCTCCGTGTTTTGTTTGGAAATAAAAACAACAGCTTTTCCTCAGTTCTGCCAAGTGGTCCTTCATTTTAGACTTTAAAGACTATGTTGTAGAATTTAAATTTTACAACACCTGAGTGATCGCTTGTCCACCACTTTCTTCAACTATTGGTTTTGAATGATGAGTCGAATGCTGGCAAAAACATGGAGTTGACTTCAGTTCAAATTGAAACAGTTGGTCCTTGTTTCAAAATTCAAAGAGAAAAACTGCAAAATGTACATACCGAATAATTTGTTCCCATGTTCAACCCTTCAGTTGATGGTCTAATATTCTCGTGCATTTTACAATAAGCCTACGAAAAAATATATAATGTCAATTTTGCACACTTTTCTATTTCTATGTTAGTCTTGTAACTAGGATAAATATTGCGTTAGTTAACCTATTAGTAAACAATTTCTAAATCAAGAGATATCTTAAGAAGTTGCAACTTTCCTGTTTCTTCCAAGTTTGAAGAAGAAAAAGAAAAAGATTAAGAATAAGAATGAGCAGTATTCAATGCATGTCTTCATCCAACATTTCATTGTGTTCCTACAAGTATATCACTTTGCTCATGTTGTACTATAAAATATACTCATTTAATCTCAATGATTCTCCACACTATTTATAAAAATTGCCTAGTTTAAGTATTGCTGGCAGGTTATTCCCATGGGAGATTAACCATTGTTGCTAGTGTAGTGAAAAAGCACCAGACCAAATCAGCTAGCCAGCAAAATAAGCTGAAACAAGTCGTCAGCATTTAGTGTCAGCGAATCCCCATCAATCCGAGGTAAAGAGCTTCACTAGATAAACTACTATTTGCCCTTAACAATTAATGCCAAGGTCATACAGTGGATCTGACCTTCACGGATGATAAGTATTGAATCGTTTCCATTTACCAAAATCATTTAACGCCTCACTGAATCCCTGTTAGCCGGGATCATGAAAACAGCCCTAAGTTTGTTCTGGCCATTAGGGAATTACATATAAAAAAGGCAGCGTTAGAGCTTGTTGGTGACTGACTTAATAGTTGTAGCTGGATCAGTGTTGTTGTGGCAGTGACAACAGAAAGAGATGCTTATTTTTCATCAGAGCCATCATACTTTATATAAAAACTTGACATCTGTTAACTTGGAAGTCACCAATGGCTCGCTCGTAGTTCACAAGAACAAAGGAGCTTCCTCTCCATTGTTTTAGACTACGCACATGCGCAAATGAATACATATTTTAAAGGGGACACGGGAGATGTGAGACTGACCAAAATCTGGCAGTATTGAGAAGACTGATGATCGCCACACGCCACCCCATAAGAAGCAAGAACCGTGCAAGAGGTCATTATGAACAATTTCCAGTTGTTTATCCTTTGTTTTGAGAATAAAGTTTTGCCGATCGTGTCAGCAATTAAAGAAATGAGAAATCCATTTCAGTAGGAGAACACAAGAAATCATTGGTGATGCCGTGGTCGAAGCTGGGACATAGGCGCTTGAGGAAGTTACTAATGGTCAAGATCGCTAAAAATGTTTTTTCCAAGAGTGATTCCAGAGAAGAACAGAGTCAAAGTCGAAGTAAAAAGTTCGTAAATAAAAAAATTTAGTTGAAGTTACAGTTCATTTTAAAACGAAAACCTGGAACACTGGATACAATTTTTTTAAATCTTTTTTACATCACTTTAATGCTAGTCGTAATGGAATGAAGACATGAAGAAAGAGACAAGATAATTATAATTCTGGCCATATGATTGGTCCACGTCAGTTCGCTTTGTCTTCGGGGGCGAAGCCCCAATATATGTCTAGTTTATTTACGACGAGAGTAATGAAGACGTTAATGTGAATCATGTGAATCCCATTGCAGCACAATGCGAAATGAATACACTTTTATTGATTTATCATACATTCAGTCACTTATTTGGAGTTGGCATACTATTTAAGACATCTGTGCTCGACATAAATAGGACATAACCGAAGGTATTCAATTCACCGTCAACATAAACGACGAAGCAATTTTGAAGAGTTGAAACCGAAATCTGTTGACTACCCGCTGTGAAGCAGTTAATACAACAAAAACATTTCACTTGGCGGAATTTTTTTTATCTCTACTCGTCGGCAAATAAATACACTGCACTTGAGGTAATAATATGATACATGATTGATGTCAAATTTTATTTTTTGGAGAAAAGTTTCTGTGTACTTTGATATCTAACATTGGCACACTTTATTCCATGTATTTAACTGCATGATCCACTAGGTATATTTTTAATGACAAGGAAGACATTCATTAAATGTGGATGGAGTACAACAACAATCAAATTTTATTCTGCCTCGTTGTCTTATAGCTTGAGTAAATGGATACTATAGTTTGTTTATGTGTAAGAGATAACACTGCTTTACTTCATAACAAAAAAATTTCGTTTATAGTTGGTCAAAACAGTAGAGCAATTGTCGCACTGGCCGAGAATATTTATTAATATATTTTCCAGGAATTCACTTTTAAATAAAGCATTTTATTCTTTCTTTTTGCCTTGTGTTGAAAATATTTTAAATTAATGCATCAATAATTAACAGTTGGTAATATCATGTGTAAAAGCTTGCGAACTGTTTTTATGTATTATGATGCAACCTGTAGCTGTAGGCTGTTTTATAAAGATTTAACATATAAAAATTGTGTTAACAAAATTGTATCTTGTGGCAATTAACAAATGTAAAATGACCAATATAAGTTACTCAAATAGATAGAACTATTAATGTAGAGAAAAGTATAGATGTATATAACATACAAATACTTCTCCAATTGCTCAAGGCTATATACAGAAAATAGTTACACACTGTAAGAAGCATGATAATTCCCATGTGAATGAATTAGGTGGTCAACTTTTATAAGCTTTTAACTATTTTCATTATAGGTACATTCATATATATAGTATACAGTTATTGCTTTTTAAGTACCTTGATCTTGTTCTCATTGCTAATTAAACAACTAGCTGGCTCATTAGTCATTGACTATTAAATAATGGGGTATTCAGAATCTTTGCATTTTCATTTTCTGGGATGGAGCATACTTTGAAGGTTTGGGGAAGGGGGGGAGGGGGAGGGTAACACATATTGTTGATATTCAGGTGCACAGTGAGCCTAACATCTTTGCATACATGTATATATAATTTATATTTTCCTTTATTTAGTCATGTTATTTTTTCATGTTAGAATACTATCCAATGTAAATTGTGATTGGTTTTTTAATACCTTTTGTGGGTTCAGGGGATTGACCCGGATAGTATGCAAAACTAAATTGCCTGAGAAGCCTTTAAAGAGCTGTCCATGTTGCTTAAATATAATAGCATAGCCATCCCCAAAATATGGCCATGCTTTGTGAATTTTTCTGCATTTACTCATTACCAAAGAAAGTGTAATGATAATTAATGAACTGAAATTTACTTTTCAGGACCAAAACATGCAGGGTGGCTGTACCATTGGTTGAATATAATCAATTCAACAAGGTAAATAGTTAATGATCATTCTGGACAAAACAGTCCGTCAAATCAGTTTTCAAAAAAACTACGAAGAATAAAAAGTTGATTATTAGCAGGAAATCATATTTAAGAGTGCATAACCTTTGCCTTTCAACAATTTATAGTTGATGTTTAGATTCATCATATTTGTAGTTGTAATAGTTTGTCCTTTTTGGTTCAAACATTGTTGAATATATTCTACAAAGATTTTTATTATACATTTTTACATTTATTTGATGAACATTTCCCAATACATGTCTCTATGAGTATGAAGATAGACTACATACTAAATCCAATACCAAATAGTAAAATTCCCAGTTACCACATAAACCCTGTGGTCAATATAAATATTGATTGATTTATTGATTGATTGACTGAGTGGTGTATTAAGATATATCATTGCTGCCGTTTGCTTAATTATGTATAAATTATTTTTAACATGAAGGTAAAAGTTAAGGGTTATAAGATGAATCAAAAATTATATTTAAGTATATTTACAAGTAATACACAAAAAACTAAATTAGTTAAAAGTTTATTTTCTTTGAGTTTCAAATTATAAAACTATTACTTAGTCTATGTTTCTTACAGAGAGGAAAATTGAAATTATGCTTAATCTGCTATCGATGATCAGTTTCATTTAAATGTTTTGTAGAACATGGAAATGCGAATGTTAGCTTGAACCCTCCTTCATTGTAATAAATGACAAAATGTCACACGAAGTGCAAATTACAATGAAGGATGGTGTAGGATAAAAGAGGATGAAGGAGGTATCATAAAGAAGGAGGTGTCATAAAGAACAAGATCTGGGAAGTGGCAAATTGCATGATGCATCCCATTGATAAAGCTAAGCTGAACCCAAACAGCCCAAATGCATAAAAAGAGTAAGTAACTTTTGTAACCAGAGCTAAGAACATCAAACTTGCCTCACATCTAATATAAACATAAGTAGAACATTGATTTGTTGCTTTATTGTTGTTAATATTTGATTTTGCCCACATGCAAAATGATGAAACAAGTTGAAACAAAAAAATGTTGAGCAAGGAATTCTGTTTACTTACAACTGTTTTGTTAGCAGCTGGAGATGGCAATTTTGAAAATTCTTTCTCGTGATTCTGCCTCTATACTAACAAGAAAAAATAACACCTGCTAATTTATTGGCTATTTAAAATCATGCTATAAATCTCGGAAATGTTGACATAAGCTCACCCTCATAGACTGGAGAGTCAATTTAACATTTGTGGTGTTTCAATTGACTGTTGCATTAACCTTGAATTAACACAATTATTTATTACCTTCGTAAAGTTCAACCGATCACTCCGATGGTCAAGAACAGAAAATGGCGTCGTAAATAATCAAGTCTATACTTTGCTAATTGACACTGTCAAAATGTACAAATACTCACTTGAAATAATGTAACTTGGTACAGATATAGCCGTTGGTACTATTAATTACAATCTTTTGATAGTAAAAAACGTCATTTTGCTGTTTAGCAAGCCATTTGCCATTAACCATTTGCTATTAGCCATTTGCCACAAGTTTTTCACACTTGTTGTGTCACCTGTTACCCACTTTTAATAAAGTTTCATCATCATCGTCTGTGATAATTTATTGAGAGAGCTAGCAGTAGAAGATCCTGAACAGTTCCGTCAGTATCATAGATTGAACAGGCAATCATTTAAAGATATTTTGAAGATTGTTTTCCATACATTGTGAAACAAGACACGCAAATGAGGACAGCGTTAAAACCTCGCGAACGACTGGCAGTAACCCTGCGATTTCTTGCAACATGTACGTAGAATTACGTATAGTGATTGAGCACTTGTTCGGAGAAAGCAGTTCTCTTACTGTTTTATTATTTTCCCATTTTAGGTGAAACATTTCGTAGTCTGTCATTCCAGTTTAGAATTGGCGAGCATACAATTTCGAATATTGTTGAGGAAACATGCCATACTTTGTATATCTCGTTAAAGGAAACATGTTTAGAGGCAAGTTATTAAACATTTATAACAAATATCGGCAGTATAATTAACAATAACTGTTTACATTCATTAAGAGCTCATGTTATCATAGGCAGATGAGTCTTGACCTGAATTAAGCTCTCTAGAGATTGGTGAAGACCACATATTAACAACAGGACGGCTCAATCCACCATCTATTGGGAAGATGTGTTGTATCGTTGACTATTTGTCATATGATTGCTGATGGGGTGCATGTTGTTTTGTGCATAAGGTGGTTGAAACATATGTTGGTGCATAGCTACTGGCGCTCTTGTGCTATGGTGTGTAAGTTCCCCTGATTGAGCCTGGAACAGTATTTCATTAATTTTGTATTGTGCCAAGTGCCTTACAGTGGGGGAAAGTTCAGACAACGACTGCGTGATATAATGACCAAATGCTTCATCCTGGTTATTACATTGCTTGTGAGACATTTCTCTGCTTTTTCTTGAGATGTTTTTGCCAAACAAGTCATGAGATTGTATTCTTCGTCTGCCTGCCTTCTTCTATTTGGCTTTATACGTGTTGACTGTTTAGTACTAGAAATGGGACAGTCAACCTCGTTCTCAAGACTGTTGCTTGGTGTTGCTGGATCATTAAAACTGTCGTCATCATCATCATCGTTTTGATCATCAACTTCATCAGCAATTGTTATGCATGATGGTGAATTGGAATCGTCCTAGAAGCATTCAATAAATGAACATGCATTAGTTTAACATAAGCAAATTTATGATGTAATTGCTTTTATTTTCTTCAATTACAGACTCCATCTTGTGCAGAAGAATGGAAGGCTGTTGCAGACCAATTTGAAAAAATGGAACTATCCTGGCTGCATTGGAGCTCTAGATGGGAAACACGTAGCCATACAACAACCAAATAGTAGTGGATCAGAATTTTTCAACTACAAGTATTTTTTCAGTGTTTTGCTTCTAGCTCTAGTAGATGCAAACTACAAGTTTTTCTATGTTAATGTTGGAGCAGCAGGCCGTGCAGGAGATGCTGGCGTGTATAACGAGTATAGCTTGCAAAAAGCTAATCTTGAAAATAGTCTTGGTCTACCACTACCAATTGAAATTACAGGAGTTTCGTCAAAAATACATTACCACATTGTGGGTGATGTTGCTTTCCCATTGAGCAAAACAATGATGAAGCCATTCCCTCACGGGAATTTAAATAAAGAAAAAAGACTCTTTAACTACAGATTGTCTCGTGCAAGGCGGGTAGTAGAAAATGCTTTTGGGATTCTTGCCAGCAAATGGTGTGTGTTCCTAACTACAATAAGATTGTGTCCTGACAAGGTTATCTAATTCTAGCTGCTTGTTGCTTGCATAACTATATGATAGAAAAGAATAAATCAGGTTATACAGCACCAGCAGATGTAGAGGATGACAATCATCTTGTCACACCTGGCTCATGGTGAAGAGATGCATGCATGACAAATTTGAATCCATTCAACACAGACAGAAATCCTTCTAATAGTGCCAAAATGCAACGTGAAATTCTGACGACATATTTTAACACTTGCGGAGATGTATCATGGCAGGATAGCATTATCTAGCAGTAGCACTTACTCTTAATTATATATATATATATATATCACCTTTATAGGTTTGACTGGACACTAATACAACTGAGACATACATCGGATTTACAGAAAAACGATTTTAAGACTCGACACAGGAACCACACTGCCTCTTTCCGCCACAAAAAACTAAGAAACTCCACCGAACTGAGCAAACACATATGGACACTAAAAGACAACAACATCGCTCACGATATCTCATGGAACATCATCACTCACAGCAAATCGTACAACAGCGCCAACAAAAGATGCAACCTATGCCTGAAAGAAAAATTCTTTATCACCTACCAACCACAACTATCATCACTCAACAAACGTAACGAACTTATCTCCTCTTGTCGCCATAGACACAAGCACTTTTATCAAATTTGTAATCGTACACTCAACATATTATGTAATTCTATCTTAATTTTTTACCCTAACTTCCTCTTGTATATATAATCTAGCACATGCTTTTGTATTCATTTAATATTATCCCCTGAAGAGTGAGAAATCACGAGACAGGCTTGTCGGGATGAAATTGTAGTTTTTGTGTATTTTCTTCTTCTTATCAATATATACGCTCTGCTCTTAAGCATCGAGCACTGTACTTACGGAGATTCAAACAAACAAAACTTCCTATATATATAGAGAGAGAGTCTCATATGGAGACGTTCACCGTGTTCGCGATATGCAAAGCTCACCTTTATAGGTTTGAGCACTGTGGTGACTCTACAATACAATCCATATAATGTGTAACTGTACGTCCTGTGTCCCAAGTGCAGGAGTCATCATTTTACTATGGTGATAGCCGGGAGGGCACATTGTATATACACTTTGTATATATATATATATATATTTGAAAATTGGTAACCCAGGCATATTATGATAATATTAAGGATTCTTTAGATTTTTATTTTGAAATTTTTATCAAGCTTTCAACTTGGTGCTTCGAGCCTTCGTCAGAATGTAAGAATATATTATTTACAAAGATTTTGTAGGCGTTTGGAGCGTCTGATTGAATGGTTAGTAGTTGAGTTGATATTATTGGATGGTATAAGATGCGTTGTCATGGTTTCGGGTGTATAGATGCGATAATGAAATTCGAGTGTTTTATTTTAATCGTTGTGTTATTAGTTTGTTGTTTTGGTTTTGTATTTAGTTGTGAATAGATGATGGGGATGTCAATATGTCTGTTTATTGTGTTGTTGTCTTTGCTGTACCATGCCTCTTTGAATTCTCGTGCGTGTTTTGTCTGTGCGCGTCAAGAAGTTGTGTTTTGTCCAGTCAAATGTGTGGTTGGTATCGTAGGTATGTTCTGCTGGTAGTGATTTTGGGTCGCATCGTTTGATGGCATTCTTGTGTTCAGTGAGTCTTGTTTCAATTTTCTTGGAAGTTTGTCCTATGTACTATTTGGGGCAATCTTTACATGGTATCTTGTAGATCGCGTTGGTTGTGTCAAATGTCGTTGTTCGGTCTTTATAATTAGTGAAGTATGATTTGAGTTTGTGTGTTGGTTTATGTGCGATGTTTATTTTGAATGGTCGGAGTAGTCTTGATGTCATTTCTGATGTTCCGTTTATATATGTTAATGTCACTATTTTAATGGTTCGTCTTTACCTCTTCGTTAGGTTTTCAGTTTGTGGTTTGTCGTGTATCAAAGACGCCGACAAACTAGACTTTGTTGCCGATCTAGAATCCACACTGAAATTCACCAACTTAAGTAATGAAATCAAAGAAGACATTCGCCACAAAGTAACGACAAACCTCTGCCTCAAAGACCAGTCACACTTAACAACGAAGAACAAAAAGCTATCAGAAACTTACGAAACGACGAAGACATAGTCATACTACCAGCCGACAAAGGACGCAAAACTGTAATCATGGACAAATCAGACTACATCAACAAAGCGAAGACCCTCTTACAAGACACCAACACGTATGAACCTCTACAAACAGACCCCAACAAAACCACTACCAACCGCATCAACAAGAAATTAAAACAACTAAAAGACAAAAAGAAACTTAACGAAACTGTCTACAAAAGAATCCGACCCAACGACTCCTCCACCGCCAAATTCTATGGACTACCAAAAATTCACAAAGAAAACAACCCGCTACGACCAATTGTATCTCTTCCTGGATCTCCCACGTATGAACTATCAAAACATCTTTCTAACATTCTGCAGCCACTAGTCAAATCATCACATCATACTTTCAAAAATGCCACAACTTTCCTCACCAATATTAAAAATGTAAAACTAAAACCAAACAAAATCATGATATCTTATGATGTAGTGTCACTTTTCACATCCATACCACTAAACATAGCCAAACAAGGCACAAACGAACTACTTACTAACAAAAACTCGTGGAAAATCACAACCGAACTAGACCAAGACGATATCATCGACCTGCTCGAGCTCTGCCTCTCCACTGAATTCTCCTTCCAAAATTCATATTACCGACAAATCTCAGGAACACCAATGGGTTCTCCTTTATCCACCTTCCTTGCAGAAGCTGTTATGCAACACCTTGAAAAGCAGTCAGTCACCAACAACACACACATCAGACTATGGAGATTTGTTGACGACATCTTTGCTATCGTCGAAAAGACAAAACAGAACACATTCTACACACAATAAACAACACACACAGAACATAACCTTCACCATGGACAAAGAACAGAACAAACAACTTACCTTCCTAGATATTCTACTTACCAGATCACATGACGGCACATTAAACACACAAGTATTCCACAAAAATACACACACAGACCAAATACTCAACTTTAATAGCAATTACCCAACACAACACAAAATTAGTTGCATACGAACTTTCTTTAACAGGATTAAAACACACTGCAATACATAAACCAGAAGAATGAATGAAACTACTTATACTCTACATTCATAAACAACAATTACCCACGAAACTTTATCAACAAAGTATTAAACAAAATACACGACAAACCACAAACTGAAAAACCTAACGAAGAGGTAAAGACGAACCATTAAAAATAGTGACATTACCATATATAAACGGAACATCAGAAATGACATCAAGACTACTCCGACCATTCAAAATAAACATCGCACATAAACCAACACACAAACTCAAATCATAC